TCAAAAGTTTTCTATTAATTAAACAAATCCTACAGTAATCTATCAACCTGAGAGTAAATTAATTTATTTCTACATAAAAGCATTTCAGAAACATAAAATTATTCTTTTGACAAATTCCGTAAGCTTTCTACTTAAATTTGCATTTAAAATTCAAAGTTCTGTTAGCAACGGGTATGGTAATTTCAGACCATGGGTGGCAAAGCTGTACGTTATGCGCAACAGACATAAGTGTGAGGGTGCAGGCATGCCCAAAGTACTTTCATTAAATAGCAAAAAATAAGTAGGAATCGTGCAGAGGGCTATAACAAAGGTACCTCGTCATCATAACCCCCCTCCTTTGACTCAATCATAAATTTCCCTACGTGAGGAATCGCCACCTCTACAACTCGCTGGTTAGAAGGTGGTCGGCTTGTGGCATTTTCAGGTTTCTGCAGAAGAAAATCATTAGTATCAACATTAGAAAAGAGAACAATGGAAACACCAGGTTTGAGTGCATAGACTTTCTAGTCTTCTAAAACATTTGCATTTGCTTAGTTTGAAATGAAACCACCTAAAACTGAACAGTAGAGGCAAATGCATCAATCAAGTAAAAGTAAAAGATCTACAGCTTTCCCTTTTCCTCCCAAACACTAAATTTTCTTTTTTTTTTTTTTAACCCACAAAGCATTCTGGACTCCAAATCCTTAAAAATAATAAACACTGAAGTTACATTTACTAATGTTGTCTATGCAGTTGATGTTTATGTTAAGAAAAATCCAGTAACTCCAAAAAGGTCTTATTTCACTAAACAGATTTATAACTAGCATGTTCTACTATTTACCTATAAACACATTTTTAAAGTACTTAAGGTGTTTGAAAGCAGCTTAAGTAATTTCAATTTGCATTATAAAGAACAGTGTTCCTAAGCATAGATATTTTCCTAGGCACAGTTCTGCCATAAAATAGACGTTTTTATAAGAATAATACAGAGTGAATTTTAGAGCAGATTTCAGCACGTGAACATTTTCTGGTTTTCCAGAGGTGCACAGGCAATAACTAAACAACAAAACAAAACTAATGGCCAAGACTGGAATTTTTCCCTTTTAAAATACATGGTATTTTTAACCGTAAGATTTTTAGAAAAGGTTTTCTTAATCTGGATCCTCAACTCTTCAAAAGGCAATAACCAATCTGCATAGTTGTAGTTATCATGAGAGATGATATTCAGCTAACCCAACACCCAGTACATAAGAGTTGTTCCATAAATGGCAAGTATTATCAGTATTATACTATTTTATTATGTGACTTTAAGTTGCTATATTTGAATAATTATAGCTCATTTATGACTATCACACATATCCTATAGCCATACGCTTGGCCCATGATATTTAATTAGAGATTTTTCATCGTTTCAGCATATGAGTGAAGAATACTTGTTCCACGTTTCCTTTCATAAGAGTGAAATACAAACAGGTAAACTGAGAAATCTGTCTGGACTTTCTGGTGAAGAATTTGTCACTAGCAAATCAATCCAAGTAAACACTTCAAAAAAGGCTAAACTTGAAAGGTGTTAAATTCTTCAGTTAATAAGTTGCAAAAATAATGAAGAGATTTTTATTAATTACCTGAAGTTCATTAACTATCTAAGTATCTTAAAAACAGAAAAAAACATACTTAAGGCATTATGGCAAGTAGCAACTTGGAAATGTATTACTTAGAATACTGATCCTTATAAAATATTTATTCCTTTCGAAAAACAAAACTGCACTTAGGAAAAATGAAAGTTTTGTAAGCCTTCCTCAGTTACTGTAGAAGACTTTTAGCAGCCCAAGGCTGATCAATAACATGGCTGAAAAGTGAAAAAAAAAAAAAAAAAAAGCAGCTTGGGGCATAGAATAATAATTCTGAGGTTATCATTCATTAAGTTTAGGTAATCCCAAACCACTACATTTTTTCAAAAAGAATTTAAAGGTGACATTTTTGGGGTTCACTGAGGTAAAATACATTTATGTTAGTTTTTTCTATTATTATCAGGCCCTATGGAAACACTTCCAAAAAGGCTAAACTTGAAAGGTGTTAAATAAAAGATTTTTATTAAATACCTGAAATTCATTAACCATCCGGGAGCCTTGGTGTCACACTGGTTCAGAGCTTGGTTAAGAGCGCGAGTAAAAAATAAATAAATAAATGGTCTCATAAAAGAGTTGTTAGAAACCTGCATAACTACAATCCCTTTGGCCACAGAACTTTAAAACGACCACAGTTTTTAATTCAGTAAGTCAACTGTGGGGAATTGATCTTAAAGAAATAATCTGAAATATGAAAAGTTTTATTTCAAGCAGACTGTTTATAATAATATAAAAATATAAACAAATATGCAATAGGGGGATGGGTAAGTAAACAAGAATTGAATCACTCAATGGAATAATACTCAGCCACTAAATTTGTTTTTTTACAAAACTTTATAACATGGAGAAGTGGTTATGTTATCAGTAGGTGAGTAAAAATAGAAAACGCAAAATATAAAATTGTATCTGCATTAGTAACTCAACTATGTAAAATGAATCCCAAACCTGTGTATAAAATCAAGAGTACCAACATATCAACATATTAACAATGATTAACTTTGGTAGTGGGAATATGTATGATTCTTTCTTGAAGTTTACTTTTCTGTACTTCTCAAATTTTCTAAAGTATTTCATTTAAAATTGAAGACATTCTGCTAAGGCTCAAGCTGCCTAACTATTTTGAGAATATCTCTCTACGGTTTTTGTGCTTCTAAACTTTCCAGGGAATTCTTACATTGAAGTTGGAACTTAATAATATATTGTTCTATCTGGAAGATGGCTAGGGTTTAAGCAAAAGAAATGACCTAACAGCTACTTCGTTGCTGTGTGCCACGGAGACAACTACTTAGTGACTATTATATGTCAGGTATTTTCAAAGAAATCATCTTAATTAATCCCACAATCACTTCTATTTTGTGGAAAAGAAAAGTGAGGTTTAGAGAAATCAAGCAACTTATTCAAAGTTGCATTGCTAGTACGGAGTAAAACCAATATTCAAAAACCCAGGACTGTCTGACTCAAAGTCTGAAGACTTTTTTAGCCTACGTAATTAAACCTCTGAACTACAGTATTAAATGAGATAACCCAAACAAGGAGTGACTACCATGATCCTAAGCAACTGGCCAGGAACCCTGGCGACGCAGTGGGTAAGCATTCTGCTGCTAACTGAAAGGTCGGTGGTTCAAACCCACCAGCTGCTCTGCGGGAGAACGATGTGGCAGTGTGCTTCCGTAAAGATTTACAGCCTTGGAAACCCTATGGGGCAGTTCTATTCTGTCCCATAGGGTCGCTATGAGTTAGAATCAAACCAAAAGCAATGGTTTTTTGTTGTTTTTAAGCAACTAACCATGAGACCAAGGACCACAGGCCTCTCCAGACAGCCATTAACACATTCTTAGGCCTGCTGCAGGATTTGTATAGACAATAGGACCAACTGGGTGCTACTCAAAAAGACAAGGCAGCAGGTTGTTAGTTTACAAGATGATATTGATGTTAAGAAACTAAGTACATAATCAAAATTTAGGTGCTAATTTCTGGGAATTTAAATTACATACGAATATTCGAACTAAAAAATGATTATATAATACGTAATGTTTTTGTTTTTCTGATTTGAGCTAAATGGATGGTTCTTATTAGCCATAATGTAGGCTTTAACAAATAAAAACCTTAATTAGCAAAGGCCCTGGCAAAATAATTTTTTATATCAGGCAAAAACGTTTCTCTTGCACCTATCACTCGGCTCTTTTTCCTGCCCTGGGTTGTATCTCTTCCACCATCTCCCAAGAAACCTGCATCTCAGATTGATTAAAAGAAGCATGTTCCGTTAAATACTTCAGAGTTAGCAGATATTCATCAAAGCTCATTTGGAGTCTCTGAGGCATTATTTTTATACCGTGTTTGGAATCATCAAAAAATAAATCTAATTACATTAATATACTCAGAGTTTTTTTTTTTTTTTTTTTGTAAGATGATGTATTCATATATTTTCAAAAATTTCCAAACAGGAAATGAAGAAATAAAAAAGTAATTTCTGATTATTTAGTTCATCAACGTAATTAACAAAATACTCTTATTTATTGAAAATTTTGCTTAATCAAGTCTTATTTATTAAAGACCTCACTGCAATTAGGTTAAATTCACTTACTTAGCAGAAAATTCTGCGTTGTAAAATTCTGACATGTACTTTCCTTCCAATTCTCTAGAAGGGGGATGTTCAAACACTAAAATCAGCTATGATGAAATCAACATTGGAGTTGGCTTATACTCACTAATAAAACAAAAGACAACCACAGCAACTGAATGGTTTTGCAGTTCTAAATTCTTCAAATCACACCTTTCAGGATATCATATCATTAAAAAACATAGTACAATACTGATACGTTTGTTCAATTTACTGACATAAAAAGACATACCTGAGAATCAGAATATAGTAAGATAAGAGTGCCAATTTTTGTACAGGACATCCTATTGAAATATGCATCAACAGTTTTGTAAGATCACATTGCTCCCACTAATAATACTCTAACCTAGAGCATTAGTAATTTTATTGTTAAACACATTTCATGCAGCAATAAAAATTACACCTTAAATTCCCAACTCTTCTAATGTAATAAGGTTCCAGATGGAGACAGTGGTAGGGGAGAATAGAACTGCTAAATTTTATACTACTCTATTAAAAGTTTAAAATCAAATGGCCAATTTAGTCTACGGCTGATTTTTCATAATTCTCTAAAAGGAAGACTGACACCTATACGAAAAGTCTTTAAAACTACAGACAACTTCGGAAGTTATAGTCTTGGGGTTAGGTGCCTGCCCCAGTCACTGAGCTCATTTATAGCAAAGCTGTCACTTGACCCTGCCTCTCCTGACTACCAGACAGGTCACTCACCATCACATTCCCAGGAAATGTTGCCAACATGGCTGTGTTCAGAGAGCTAAAAGAAAAGTTCTTACCGACTGCAAAACTGTTTCAGGACTTTTATCTTCATGCTCATGTGATGCCTTGGTAATTATTCGAATAGTTTCTTCTTTCAAGTGCTTTGAGAAATCACTTCTTGATGGCTGCTCTAGATATTCTGGTTCTCCCGCTTGTGCTTCATGAGAAAAGAATCAATTGTGTATCTAATATAAATCACAGAGAGTCTATACTAAGATGAATCTACATATTTCTAATAATTCTGAATTTACATAACAACCAATTTTACTCTTCTATTTAAAGTAAAATATCCTTCAACATAATGAACTCCTCCCCAACAAAATTTACCAAAAAAAAAAAAAATCCAAACCAACAAAACTCTAAATAATTACTGAAGAAGCATTCATTATAGTTTAAGATAAGAAATTCATAATAAATTATTCTGACATGGTAAGTACCAAAATCTCATTTTGGAAAATCATTAGCAATTTACCAAAAAAAAGAAAAAGCTTTTGGTTTGTATACGATCCTGGTCTGAGTTTCCACAGACAGCACATCTGACGAGGCCCTAACCCTGAATGAACCCAATCTTCTGAACCTGCCCCTGGCAGGTGAGCACTGGCAAAGGAAAAACAAAAACAATTTCACGAACTGGTACCATTACAAATTCAAGACTTCAAATACTATCCATGTGAAGATAACTCCCAAATATATATCTCCAACTGTTACTTACTTTCTGAACTCAACCCTTATGGCCAATAATGTACTCTGAATGTATTTTATAGACAACTTCAAAATCCTTTCACAACCTATAAGGCTTTACATAAGTGGGCGTCTGTCTCTCTCTCCACCATCATCTTTTGCCCTTTATCCTTTGCTCAAAGGGAAACATGCACTAAGTTTTTTGGCTTTACTAATATACCAAAGGAAGGATGTGTCCTTCAGATCCTTCCATATACTCTTTCTTCTGCCTGTATGTTGACCCACTCTCTCTCTCTCCCCATCTAGTAACTTCTACTTGTCCTTTTTGCTTAAATGCCATTTCCCTATGGAAGTATTTCTGATTACTCCAGACTAGGCTAGGTCTCCCAGTGATAAACTTCTAGGGCAGGGTTTCTTGATCTCAGCACTACTGACATTTTGGATTGAATAATTCTTTGGTGTGGAGGGCTGTCCAGTGCACTCCAGCATCTACCCACTAAATTGACAGTAGCACCACCAACTCCCCCCACAAGGTGTGGTAAGTAAAAACATTTCCAGATATTACCAAATGTCCCCTGGGGGGCAAAACCACTCCCAGATGAGAATCACTACTCTAGAGTAACTTATACTTTCTTTTTAATAGCACTTACCACTATTATGACTTAATTATTGCTGTATTTGTTTAAAGGTCAGATCCCCTACTAGACTGTAGGAATCGCAAGCGTAGGGATGCTCTCTCCCTTCTGTATTGCTATTCTTCAATATCTAGCATACAATAGGCACATAACAACATAATGGAACAAACGAACTAATAAATAATTTAATGAATGGATATGGGGAATAAGAAAGTACACTAAAATGTTCTATGATGCTACTGGAATTAAGTGGGTCCTTGCTCAGCTATCTGGTGGGACGCAATAGGACTACTCTTGTCCTATCCAATATTTTATTAATTTTAAGAATTTCTCAAAGTGAAATATTAAATTATAATTTCAAAGTATATGCATGATCATTCATTTACCAACAAATTTTAATTAAGCATCTGTGTGACAGGTACGAGGCTAGGCACTGGGAATCTAGTTGTGAACAAAATAGCTAGTCACTACCTTCATGAGGTTTATGGTCAATTACTGGGAATTCATTAACCAAAGAATCACTCATTATTATAAATTATGACAATATTACAATAGCACATTCTAGGAGTAAAACTGGGTGGTGGTGGTGGTGAATTTAGGCTGTGGGATATGGGATAAAGGATCTTTAAGCTGAGGGATAGATGGATTCGCTTTGCCAGATGGAAGAATGAAGAGCCCATGTAGCAAGCATGGGCTGGATCCAAAAGAAGCCCAGTGTGGCTGGACTACATATAGTGCAAGAGGAGATGGCAAGAGATGTACAGGTAGGGGCAAAATCATCAGGGGCCTTTAAGTCACAAAAGAGTTTTGAGTACAACTGAAAGTGAATAAAGACTTTAAATAAGATGGCAACAGGGCAAGTTTTAAAAAAAAATCATTTTTAGCTATGTTTTGAAAAATGGATTAGAGAGAAGAATGAAACTAGAGGTCAGTGAAGGTACTAGAACAGTACGGACAAGAGATGATTGTGCTTTCGGACAAAAGACAGCAACAGAGGTAGAAAAGAATGACTAGATTCAACATATATTTTGGACATAAAGCTTAGAGACTAGATGTAAAGGATGACTCTAGATTCCTGGCATGAGTAACTAGGTTAATGGAGGTAAAATTTTCTGTGATAAGGAAAACTAGAAGTGGAAAAGTTTATAATATGCATAACAAGGCAAGAAGTTAAAAGAAGATAAATGTTCTCATTTCTGTAGTTCCTGACTCTGAACTGCAATGGTCTTTCAGTTCTTTATGCTAGATTAAGTAAAGAAAACCCTGGACTGCCTCCAGCTGAGGAGGGTTCCATTCCTGGAAGGCTTTGTGATACGTGCTTAAGCCAGTTGCTTTAGTGTTTAACAGAACAAAACTCCCTGTTGATAAAGGTTTTCTTTGCTTTTTCCATTCTATATTTCTTCTCACCATAATAGATAAAATGTCAAAGATTGCTATTAGGATGTGAGCCTACTGCAATTAAGCACCAAAGAAATCTGTCTGGTCTGACACTGCTCTACAGCACTGAAACCTAGAGAGTCTTAGGTAAAATAAGCCCTTATGAGCAAAAAAAACAAAAAAACAAAAAACTTAGCTGATCAACATAATCAAATCCACCTTAGGACACCAGGGCTAAGGTTTCCTTTCACATAGGAATTTGAGTCCAACAACCTTATGAGTAATGCAGAATTACTCTGCCTTAATGTCATACACAACCATTTCCTCTAGAGTTTCCCCTGTGGATGTATCTCCTACGGGACTTACACGAGTGGTGTTGTAATCATAATAGGTGAACCTACAAGGATTTGAAACCCTGAGAGACTGGAATCCAAAACTCAAACTGCATTCACAAACTGTTTATTAAGCCTGTGCCATTGTCAGTCCTATGCTAGGCATTAAAATGTGAAAAAAAAAGTTTACTTGTTTTAAGAAACTTTCAGTAAAATCAGGTAGATATACACCCAATTACAATACCATGTGCTAAATGCAGTAACCGAGTTATGCACAAGGATCTCTATACATAAGCACTGTGGACCCAATACACACATGTGGGATGATGGTGCATGTTAAGAAAGACTTTCTAGAAGAAATGCCAACTGAGCTGCACCTTGAAGGATTTGTAGAGAGGATTATCTTGAAGATGAGAAAGGAGAAGATTCCAGGCAGAAGGAATAGCATATGCAAAGGCACTATAAGGACATAAAGAGGAATATGATAAATTTGGTAGTGAGAATAGTTTGGGATTCAGAGGAAAAGGATAATAGTTGCTACAGGGGTTATGTGAGAGGGATTTGCAGAGACTTTGGGATATGAGAAAGGTCTTAAAGAATGGGTAAAATTTCAAGAATACTGATGTTAAGAGGACATTTTTAAAGGATAGGAAAGTTTTCTAAATTTAAGAGAAATGGGGAGTAATCTGGTTTAGATGAAACTCAGGGTACTAATAGGAAAGTAATGTTGGAAGAAGTATGAGGGAGACAGATTATAATAGAGGACCTGCATAAAAAGAAAATAGGTTTTGGCTTCATTTTTTTACACCAAAGAGTAAAAACATGTTTTCTAGAACAAACAAGCAAAATGAGGAAATAAAAAACGCTTATCCACTACCCAGAGATACGCACTATTAATATATTTGATGTTACATATTTTCAGACTTCATCTATATACACACATTTTGTTTTTAAATGAAAAGGGAATTATTCTGAATATACAGTTTTATAACAGTATAGTAAATATTTTTGTCGATAGAAATTTTACTGCTTATACTGTGTTCTGTATGGGTGGCTCATATAACTAATATTCTACTGCACATTTAGGCAATTTCCACTTCTTTATTAAAAACAACAGTAGGACAAAAGTTTGGCTTTTACCATGTAAATACCACAATGAATTTTACTCATCCTATAACCCCATAAAAACTTATCACTGCTGGCCTGAGTAAAAGGTAGGAACTCAATAAAAAGAAACCACACTGTTTATTTTATGTCCTAACTGGCAGTTTATATACTAACTAATTCTTTGGTTAGTATATATTGTTCAGACTAATACTCAGAATACAGCTGGTGATTACTTCTCTAACACTTGTTAATCTTAATTTATCCTGAAAGTCTTCCTTGGTTCCTTACCTACAGCTACAAATTCCTAAATAAACTCATTTCACTGTGAATGACTAGTTAGTTCTCTATGGAGGTATGCAATATTCCTGTACCTAAACTAAAACCAAACCCGTTGCTGTCAAGTTGATTTCAACTCACAGCGACCCTATAAGACAGAGTAGAACTGCCCCACAGGGTTTCCAAGGAGCAGCTGGTAGATTTGAACTGCCGACCTTTTGTTTAGCAGCCGAGCTCTTAGCCAATACTTCACCAGGGCTCCAAATCATTTATTTGTTCTATGGATGCTTCATTCGAGTGTTTTAATGGCTATATCCTACTTAGGAGATTTTCTAGCCATGTTATATGTTATATAATATAGGGGATTCATTCACTTGTTTGGACGTCACAGAAAACGCCAAATTCTGAGGGCACTATTTAAGCCTGCTGCTTTGGTTCACCTTCGTGTAGATGCAGTGGAGTTATGGTGGTGGTGATGGCGAGTGTTTCTACTTAGGCGTATTCCCTGGTTATGTTATTCAATATAACCTTTAAAAGGCAGCCTATGGAACCATGCTAAGCTGACTACACAGAATCCCCAGTGTAACTTATAAAAGTTCATATTCCTAGGCCCCACCCCGCTCCAAACAAAATCTCAGGGAAATGGCGGGTAGGGGCTGAGGAACTAGAACAAACAAAACCTCATTGCCACGGAGTCGATTCCAACTCATAGCAACCCTACAGGGCAGAGCAGAACTGCCCCATAGAGTTTCCAAGGAGCAGCTGGTGGATTTGAACTGCTGACCTTCTGGTTAGCAGCCGAATGCTTAACCACTGCACCACCTGAGTTAAACCTAAAATTCATCTGGAACAGAGAGTTACACCTGCACCACACAATTTTCCCTCACTTCCCTACTGTAGAATTATTTTGGCTATACTTCTGAAATCTTGATATTCTGTTACACTGAGGATTGTCTCTAGGAAACTCTCCAGAATCTCCTAGGGATTGCATTCAATTCAGAAAACATTCATGGGACGTGATACGTCATTTATTATACGAGATGCTGGAGATATAAGTAAGAATGCCACTTAGTCCCTGCTTTCAAGGAACTTAAGAACGTTGAGGATATTATGCATTCTACCAGGTTCCCTTCTCAGGAACCAGCTGTACTTTCCCAGGACATTAGCATATTTTACTTGTAAATGGTGTATATAAAGAAGTCCCAGAGCCAAATCTGCATGCCACTTCTGGGCAAATGTATAAAATCTTATGGAATACATTCATTCCAATCTTAACCACTTTTACCTTATTTTTTTCTACCTTTGTTTGTTTTGGTTTCTTAATTAAAAACAAACAAACATGGGGGTATGCTATGTATGTTGTTGTAAGGGTCTCAAATACTTCTGGAATAAGATAAGAGTAACACAAATAAAATAATAATTCAGGCAGAGCTCTTCTCTCATCAGGATGATGTCTCTGTTGTATAAACACACCCTAGAGCCATGCCACTAAACTAGGGGTACACCTCAGAATTATCTTTATCTTTTTAAGAATGCATATTCTAGACCCTTCCTCCACAGAGTTTCTGATTCTACTAAGTCTTAGGTGATCACTGATGGTGTGCACTGCTTGCATTCAGAAAAATTCTCCTGAGTAATTCTGACGTGCAGCTCCTTAGTAAGGGACTATTAGTTAGAAATCTAAACAAAAGTGTTCAGGTAAGTTTTTCTTTGCAAAAGTAGGTTTAGGGAGATAGCATAAGACAGACCAAATATTAGTTTTCCATCACATAACACTTATTTTACTTTTAGTAAGACAATGAATGGTACTAGAAAATAGATACACAAGGATTTCTTGACCACATTTCAGCAGAAGAAGGGCTAATACTAATTTGATAAATATTATATAAATTAATATTCTTATTTTGAATACCACTAAGAAATTGGATTTTAATGGTTCTTGCATTATGGCTTTTTTGAGAAGATTTGCAGGGAGGGAAGGCAAATCACTCTGATGGATTTTAAGACCAAGATTTCCTTATATTGTTTCTACTTTTCACTCATCAACCTAGTTAGCCCCTAAGAGATTTAAATACAGGTTCTCTCTGAGATGCTGAAAGTATTATACCAAATTAGACAAGTCACTTATTCTGAAAACTATGAAAAGAAATGGGAAGAAGATTTTATGGGCATTGAAATAAAATTTCTCTACTAATCATACGCAGTTCCATGAACAACAGCCAGTTCCCTTATTCAACTGTGCTATGTTAAATGTCCCTGCAACAGAGACAGGATGGATTTCTTAATATGATATGAAAGACAGTACAGTAATAGAAACCAATCTTTTAAACAACAATGTTACTTCCCAAATGTATAGACTTAATACATTCTACTTCTACTAACTCAAATAAAATACATATTTCCATTAATTCAATAAAGGACACATGGTTTCCTATTGACACAGTATTGCTATCGCTTTCTTAAACCCAGTCCGGATAATTGTCATAATAGTTATATGTGAATTGAACATTCCTTCTCTTTATCTCTTAGGTACTCTGGCTTCTCTCAGAAGTATATCTGCAATCTCTTCAAGTTAATTTTAAATACTAAGAAATACAAATGTATACCAAATACCTACCACTGATTTTTTTCTTTAATTACAAAAACACTATGAAAGTATCTGGTGGAAAGTACTGATCAGGAAAAGACAAGATAACAAAACTAAAAGGTTGAGTAATGTTGGATAATCCTGATCATATGGGAATATTAGTGGGGAATATGTATTATTTTGAGTTAGCAGGAATAGAAGGCTTAAGTGTAAATTAGGAGAGACTTCAGTGAAACAGACAAAATGAAGAGGAGGAGTTATATAAAAAAAAGAGACTAATGAGTTTGAGGAAAATGTCTCAGTTTAATTTATCTCCATTCATTTCTCCAACTAGTGTGAAGAAATAGCACTTTTTCTACAGCAAGAAATATATCACCCTAAAATATATTCTCAATTCAGTGATGATGAAATTAATCTTTAAAAGAAAAAAAGACATTTTATTTTCAATTCTGCTAGAACACGTTTTGTTCATTTTCATATAGTGTTTACTTTGAATATTTTATTGATTTCTTCAGCTAATAATTTTAGAATGATATTTTTAAGATAATTTTATAAATGTATCTCCTGTTTTATATTTCTATACACTTTTTAGTTGGAATATATATTTAGTTTTCACTATTTTTGTTTATAATTTTAAGAATTTTGGAAAAAAAAAAGAAACTACACTTTGTTAATGGTGGTATTTCAATATTAAACAAAATATGCATTGATATACCAGTATTATTTTTTGCTAAAATTTGAAATTACTAGAGTTCATTCTCTCGACAGCATTAGTGAATTGGTTTGAGTTGTTTGCTGATTTCACAGCTCTTCCTGTTTCTTGTCAAGACAAGCCAAGCCCAAGACAAACAGGCAGGATAGGCAGAAGAAAGCATTGACAGAATTATCTAATTTTTCTTGATAAAGGTATATATGCATAAAGTAGTTTCTGGCAAAGGGGCTAACTAAATTGTTACTTATGGTTACCTCTGAGTGATAGAATTTCAGATGATTTTTACTGCTTCTTCATACTTATGATAGCTTAAGTTTTTGTTTTTTCAATGAGCATACCTTTCAGTGATCATGTAATAATAAAACACCAACAATAAATACAGTACTATTGATAATAAAATACAACTTATTAAAAATGGACTAACCTGTTGTTACAGAAGACTCTGACTCCCTCAGTTTCTGAGATGCTAAAAGCTTTTCCTGCAAAGCTTTCTGGGCAAGTTGTGCATCCCATTCTTCTAATTCTTTTTCAAATCTTTGGTTGTCTTCCTCAACAAAATCCCTTAAATCCGGTGGTAATGTTTCTATTCCAACAAGGGCTTGCCCAGTTTCTTTGTTACATTCCTCTGCAAATCATATTTTAAAAACCAACATAAAATCAAGAATTAAAGGAAAAATGCAAAGCTCAAAACAGAATGCATTTCAAAGGGATTTAAACTATGAATTATTACCCTTTAGCAAATCGATTCTACTTAAAACTTTAAAGACAACTCAAATAAATGCTCAGAAAAGCAATGATACAAATATCTATAATTCATTATAAGTAATTTTCTCACGATTATTTTTAAATCTGAAGAATAGAAATAACAACATATAAAGCCAAAATTCTTGCTACTCAAAACACTGCAATAGTACTACCTTTGCTACTATAAATATATAACAGATGTCTCATTACTCATGAAGTAGAACTCTTCACAAAGTTAGAATAAATACCTCATACTTATTACTCTTGAAATAAAACAAATTATTTTTTTAATCTGAAGCAGTTAAGTATAGCATAAAAATAAATATTTGATTATGAAAACTAATCATATACAGCAAGTTTTTTTCAGAACATATGTGAATAGTATTTAAAAGTTACTCAACCTCTACCACACATACACGCATGCAAAAAACTTTACTTTTTCAGTCATAAATGGACTGCCCAGCTAGTTTTTCTGAATGCTTAAATACAAAAGGAAATTTAATTTTATCAGTTTCAACAAACCTTAACCGTTTCCTAGATGGAACACCCATATTAAAATATCAGAAATAAAGATTTGAAGGCATGATATGACATGGTCCCTGGCTTTGGGCAGATCATAGTGAAGTGGGAAAGACAAGTCAACACTGAATGCCAACACAAAACAATAAATGCCTGATAGAGGTATGCTATGAGAGCACAAAATGGGATACTTCCTGGCAGATCAAGAAAAACTTTGCAGAAGAGCTGACACCTGAATTGAGTCTCAACGGATGAGCAGGAAATAGGTAAAGGAAGAAAGAAATAAGAATATCATTGACAAAAAAAGAAAAGAGAAAAAAAATAGCAAATAAACACAGAGATATAAATGTGTAGAACACTATGGTGTAAGCAAAATCAGCAAGAAGATCAAGTATCAGTGCAGTATGTAAAGTTCGAGATGGAGAATGGTGGTATATGAATCTGGAGATAGAGCCAGGGGGCAGAAAATAGAGGCTAAAAAGTTTAAATATGAATTAATAAGTGGATATAGTCATTAAGGGTTTTTAGCAAAGAAAAATAAGGTCAAACGTACATGTAACAGTTAATGCTGAATACAAAATAAATTCCATTCTCAGCCTTGATGGCGTTCTCTCTCAATTTCAGCATTCTCCCGTGCAATAACCCAACAGCAAGCACTTCCTAATCATATCCATCACCCTCTGAGTGAATTACTTACATATTCATACCACAGACCAGAATGACATCAAAGGGCTACTTATTTAAAAACCTATGCACAACCTGTAAATTTCATACTCTTACCTTGTATTAAGAATTGTGCCTTATCATTTATGTACATTAAACAGTATGCACTGGCATTTCTATAACCACCAAATGAGTCCCTCACTAGCTCTTCCCACGATGATTTTGTCACTGCAATGTCATTGTACTTCATCCACCTGTTTTCACGATGATCAAAAATGTATGCCCAGTAATGCCCTGCATTCGCTTGGCCTTCATGAACTAAAACCGCATGTAAGCGATAAGGGACCTAAATGTGAAAAAAGAAGAGTTAAATTTCAGTTAGGCAGTCCATTACACCACATTCCATGAACCCACAAACTAATCATTTGGAGGATATTATTGGAACAACATATTGTTTAACAACAGAAAACTGGGTGGGATTAAAATTTGTCAAAAACAAAATCTATGAAATATAAATAAGAAAAAAGAGGGATGTTAAATAAGCTAAAGATACATAAAGCAGGTAGGGGTATAGATAAAAGAATGATTTTCAAAAATCTGAAGAAGTATTTGTTGTATACGTAGTATTTGTTTACCTATTTAGGTTATTTATTAGCCCAACAAAGAACTTACGATGACCAGTATTACAAACAGCACATGATTTGTCTAAATCTTCACAGTTATAATTCGATGGTTGAGTTTAACAAAATAACTTATATAATGTATACCAGAAGTTAAAATGTAACTGAGCTCTATCTAAATTTTTCTCTCACTGTCTTAACATCCTTAAACAACCATATATATTCTCCCAAAGGAATTTTTTAATATTAAGCCTTTGCAAAAAAATTGAATAAATTGTATTGTAAAATAATAAAAAGAAGTGTAGGCAGTAAGTATAGTATGAGAACACAATTGAATGGGGGAAATATTTTAATGTGGCAACTTTAAGATCAGCAATTTTATAGCCAAATATGTAAGGGAGAAATTTCACTTACTTGGATCATAGACTTGTCAGAGTACATTAGGTCAACTGTTCGGTGGATTCTGGCTATGCTTTCCTGCAAATCTAAGGATATAGTGTGTCATTTAATGATTAATATCAAGTATGTTTCTACTGAGACTTAAAGTAGGAACTACAGGTTTTCCTAACAAGATGTTAGAGTGAGAAAAATCTCCTGAAACTGTTTCTAAAAAATTACTATTTAGAATTTGTATAACGTATAGTTATCCTTAACAGAAGATAAACTACAAATGCATAATTAAAATATAAAATAAAATATAACTCATATGGAAAATGTACGAAGCCAATAAAAATGAAACTGGATCAAATCTATAAAAGTTTCAATGAAAATTAAAGCTAGATCCCTCCTTTATATATTGCTATAAAACAGAATTTTAGAGTGAAACAAAATAACTTCACCACATACCCTGTATATACCATATTTTTAGGCAAACAACGCACAATTTCTACATTTGTTTGCCCACTGCGCCCTCCTCTTGTGAGGTATTTTCATAAGCGCCGCTACATTAATTGTTTTACAAGTTGCTGTAAAACACATTAGCATGGTACACTTAATGAAAATATTTTTCAGGGGGAAGGCATGGTTGGCAAACAAACGTAGAAGGTGAGCGTTATTTGCATAAAAATACGGTATACACAATTGAATAAAAATCCAGTATAATCCCCAATTGAAATAAAATTATGGCAATTCCATTACACGAATTTCTACTCTGATCAAACTACAAAATTACAGAGACAAATGTATCCTACTCACAGAAGTGTATAAGTATGTACTTAGAAACCCAACATTATTTGCAAAGAATTATCAATATAGAAATTAATTAAATTACAGTATAACCATACTTTGGAATACTATAGTTTAAAAAACAATGCTAATAGCTAATATTAGCAGGGATGAAAGAGAGAAAACAAATACACCAAGGAAAACCTTCTTTCCTGTTTCATAGTATTATATACCTAAAACTTTTATCACATGAACGTCCCTCAAGCTCCTCAAACTTAAAATGGCCAAAAGTGAGCTAAATATATTTCTATTTCCTCTCCTGAGGAAGGGATGTGCTAGTCTACCAGCTTGCCTTTTTTCCAAAGTGCATTCTATTTATTTATTATTTTCTCATGCTATCAACACAGGAATCACAATTATCCCTGATTTCTCTCTCTCACCTCTCGTCAATGACCCATATTTGTCAGTTTTTTCCAAAAAACATTTCAAGTTATTTCCTCCCTCAAGCCATACCTTGGTTCAAACTACCTTTATCACTTGTTTTCACAGAAAAATCCAAAGGAAGAGAACTTCAAGAAGAATAAAATAATCTAAAATTTCAAATATTAAATATTGAAATATTAAACACAATACCCAAAGGCATACATTTGAGACTAAGTTTTAAAAAAACAAGTAGGGAAAAAAAATGAATAACTACCTACTGCATGGCAAATCACATTGAGAAAACTGTAAAACTACGACAGCTCAGTATTAAAACCATATCCTAATATTGAGCAATGGTTATTTAATTCAAGTACAGTAATGGAGGAAGTGAGTCTTCATATTTAGAAATCCTTAAAAATATGATAAATTCTTGTTCTTTAGTTATCTTTTAAAAAGTATCTGATAAAAAAAACAAAAACAAAAATAATGTATGTATTGGTGGTTCTCAACCTTTTCCTCCGGCAAAGCAGATGACTTCACAGTTTCCATATGCTTCCACAAAAGCAAACAAGTATTAACAGAGATAGACTATATGTAATTTTACCACTTTTCTCATTCCACAAAGTACAAACACTGGAATTCAAGGATTGAGGGTGATATTTTCAAAGTGAATGTGCTTTAATTTATTTTTAAAAACCAGCTACAAACTTTGGTACTTTATTTTACAAAATAAATTACTTTTAACTTTCCTCACAAATACCAAAATATAGTAGTGGAAAAACACTGTGTTGGGTATCATTTTTTTTTTTTTAATTGTGATTTTCCAACTTAGGGAAAAAAATAGGGTGTTAAAAACTTCCTATCTTCTACCCTTCTAATGTAATCCTACAAAAACAATCACGATCTGCCACACTAAGCAGAATATTTTCCAGTATCTAGCGCAGTGTTCGGTAAACACCATGTGCTTAATGAATGTTTCTTGAATGAATTCAAACATAAGAAATTCTCTTATATATGAAATATATTAAGGAAAATCTTTTCAGCTACTAATGCGAATTGTTAAATAGTCACTATTACATCCTATTAACCCTATTAAATTAGGACTGCTCTTTACTTATATGCTGAATCTCTATAAAAAGTCAAGTGGGTCATCTAAACTTATCATTCAATCTAATTTCAACCTTGTAGTATACAACAGTAGTTCCTAGATTTTTCATTTTTCATAGATCAATAAAATTAGGATAAAACTGGGTGATGATAATGGGGTATTATATTTTGACAAGGAAGGAAAAATAGTAAAATCTACCATAAAATATTTGTATCAGTTTATTTTAAAAAATTAACAACAGAAAGCAGGAGGAAGATACTATAATTTCAGAATAAAGGTGCATTCCTTCCAAGAAAGGATTGACGGAAACTTAACATCAAAACACATGCATGTGTGCATGTGCACGCACACACACACACACACACACACCACACATCCCACACAGATCATTGTTTTTATTTTTTCTTATTCTGTTGCATGCCAATTAAAACTCTGTTACAGACTGGCATTGGGTTCAGAGATCATATTTGGAAATCTCTGTAAAAGCAGGTTAAAACTTAAAATTCACACTTCTAATTCTTAAGCCTAAAGAAACTTTTTTTTAATTATTTAAACTTCTTCATTGTGCAAACATCAGGGGAAGTACGTAACTGATATGTACAAACTTTGACGCTATAAGATAGCTCCCCAATGGAGCACCTGTAAATATGAGTTTGTTATAAATTTAGAGCACTAAACTAGAACTCAGGCCACCTGCTAAGTCATTAATCAGCTAAGTAATCCTGGAAAATCTTTCAACCTCTTTGAACCTGACATTAAGACTATAAAAGTGGGGAGCCAGACTAGATTATCTTATATAAAACTCTTTCTAGGGGAAAAAAAAAAAAAAAAGAAAAGATTTTATAGTACTTAAATATGAAATCTAGAGGCGATTTCTTTTCTCAGTTTTAACACTATTACACATATACACTTGAGGTGACAGCAGCTACACTGTGAAAAGCTTCCTACCTCTGGTGTCATTTTCTATTTCTGTCCTCCAGCGATGTAGACAGCCTTCTAGCACAGAAAGTTCCTCTTCTGTTATGTGCCTTGGTGCTGGATGCATGGGCAGATCTGGAGGTATCCGAGACTGCGTGAATGGTTTGTGTATTATTGATCTTGATGAAATGGCAGTAATTGCAGGTGATGTGCCTGGCAGTTCTGAAGAAGGAGCTCCCTGTGGTTCTGCTGTGCTGTATTTAAAAAAAAAAAAATAGAATATTTATTATTAAACTTTCTAAACTTAAGCTCTAGACCAAGCTTGTGCCAAATATATGGCATTATATTAGTTTATAAATTCAAAAGAAAAGATCTTTAAAAGAAATATGTGTACTGATCTCATATCCTTTAAGATTCTTAATATACAAGGACTACATTATTGTAAGATTGAAATTATGGCTTTACAGTAGAAATGCCTTTTTTTTTTAAAGAGCCAAATCTCATGTACACTGAAATTATAAAGACCACCCTTGCTAATACCAGCTTAATTACAGAAACAAATTCTAATTTAACAGTATTATTTTCACGTATCATAAAAGGTTGAAACTTATATAACTATACTCCAAAAATAAAGTATAATTCTGAACAGAAAAAAAATGATGAAAATTTCAACCCACACAGTAAAAACTACTGAACAAATAAGAAAAAAAATCTAGAAGACATGCAATTTCAGTGAATCTTTTTAAGTTCATTAAAATAAATCAAAACATTATAAGATCTTCTTTAAAGGCAATCAATTACATTATTATATAATACAGGTAACACATCTGTCTCTTGCATCAAGAAAACTTACCTTGGTAATGTCTGTGATGGTATGGAACCACTAGGTGGGGAACTAGCGTCAATATCATCAACAGGAGAAGTGCAAACAGGTTTACTGGAGGCAAATTCCAATGCATACTGTAGAACATCTACCAAGGGGAATCGTTTAGGACCCGAACCATAGCTTAAGTATCTGTTAACCATAAAATGTATGAATGCTTTTATTTGTATATATAGCACATTTATTTTTTTCAATAATTGTTATAAAACATGATGAAAATACTTCAACAAGTCTTCCTCAACAATTAAATTGATCTTGTTTTCAAGTAAATTAAATGCTCTGCAAAGGAAGAAAACCAAAGCTAATTAAGACTGAATGTGTGTATATACTGTTATAATTTTTAAAGGCTGTTCTAAGTTGTAGCTCAATAGGAAGATAATAACTGACAATACTCTTCTCCTGAACTGTTTTTATTTTTAGATCTGTCATCTGATCTTATGATCAAGATGCTAATTTTCATCAACCTCTACCTTTTACCTCTCATTACTTCTCAATACGATCACCAAAACTTTTAAGTATAAAAATTGCTAAAGTAAGATGATGGATAGCTTTTGTATAAAAAGTTTTAGGCTACTGATTTTCAAATTAATACAAACATAAGGGAATACAGACTAGATTGCAGGCTGCAAACAGGGATCCCTCAGAACACATTTAAACCTTTAGACTTCTTCTGACCTGAAGAACGTTTGACAATCTGGATACTGGCTTCTTTTGGAAACAATCAAAAGCTCCAGGCAACAGTGAGATCATATTCATGCCTGGCACCATTTCACTGGTGCTGGATGGCAGCTACTACCTCCTACACAGGGATGTGCTCTCCAGGCTCCGTACCCCCCATCCACTATCTTATATCTGGCCCCCTTTAACTCCTTTATAAAGCTTTTGTGAAACCCTGACAGGTATTTGAGTTGTGTACAGTGTGTTAAGGAGTTCAGTCATCATTTGTTTTAATAGAAATTTCAAGAGTGATATTTAGTCTTATGCAAGAAGTTATCTCAATATTAGGTTAGCTTAACTTTATATCCACCCTATTTTCACACAAATAATGTGCGCCTTCTACATTTGTTTGCCAACCGCACCCTCCCCCATGAGGTATTTCTTTAAGTGCCTCTATGCCAATTTTTTTACATGTTGCTGTAAAAAAAAATAACATAGTGTGCTGAGGAAAATACCTCGCAGGGGGAGGGCATGGTTGGCAAACAAACGTAGAAGGTGCGTGTTACCTGCGTAAAAATATGGTACTTCCAGCACCATGAATATTACTGGTTAACAATTAAAGAACATGATCTGTTACTTAATTTTAAACACTAAAATAATCTTCCACAGCCAACTGTGGTTATTTTTAATGCCTAACAAAATTCAAAACTAATTTATTTAAGTGAAGTATCAATGTAGAACTATTTACTCCTAGAATTACATATCACTCAAAACAAATTTAAAATTAAAGGTTTAGACAGTCACTAAATATATGATTTCCTGTAGTTATAATTTCATAGAAGTTAAAATACCTTTCTAGTCTTTGTTGTAATACTGTGAGGTAATCTTTAAGTCTCTTGATCTCTTCTCTCTTAATTCTTGTTATTTCTCTGTTTCTGTGCATGTATCTATCCAGAAAAAGGAAAACAGCAGTCATTAACATTTCTAAGTATCTTGGAAGTAGATACAATATTAAGTCTCGGCATCATTTCATTTAGAATTTTACAACAAAATGTTAGACAAACAATACAAAATACTATATTTATTAATTCTAAAAGAAATTTACAGACTGTTGAAATAATCTTGTTTTTTAATTTCCTCACAACATTTTTCCCAGTAACTATACTTTTCTAATACAAAGAGAACTCTATTGCCCCTGAAAAATGGTATTAGGTATGTTATGGAAAAAGCAGATGTTAACTCTAAGAAAATTATGCAATATTTTCATTTAAACACAATAATTCTTCATGTTTTTACTAAATTGTTATAAAACTAAGTCATACTGTATGCCAAACCATACCTGTCCAGATATAAAACTTGGGGAAATTCTAATTTGTTGTGAATTTTCTCTGGTCTTCCCAGTGCCTGATTAAATTCAAATCTTGACAATTCAAATGTTAACACAGGTGGCAGTTCGGTAAACCAATGCTGAAAGAACAACAAAAAACCCTTAATATCTATCCCTTTCCTGTTTTCTCTACTGCAATTTTAGGTACAGAATGTTGGTGCTCACATTTTTATGTGCACCACCACAATGGTGACAAGACAAACAGCTGACTGGCTACACAATTTAGTTAAAACTCGACTTCTCCCTAAAAATCTTTCACATCTTTTGGAAATTCCCAGAATGGAGATAACAATCAGGAAAGAGAAAATTCTTCTAACACCTGTCCCTCCATGATAATGCTTTCGATTAAAATTTCTAATGCAAAGAAAAAGACAGTGGTAAAAATCATGGCTTCATAGTCTCTGTCTTCTGGCTGCTTCAATATTCTGTCAATATTACTCCTAGAAATGGAACTTAATGCAGTCAACCACACTGTCAAATGTCTGTGACAAAGTAATCTGCAAGATGTAGCACTCAAAGGAAAAAAATATTTTTGTAGCGTGAAATGACCACAACTCTCATGCTAAAAACCAAAAATATAAACTCTGATATTTTGTTTTAAATTTTATTTTCCAGCTGAAATTCAGACTAATTTAAGAAAAAGATCACTAATATAAAATTTATATTTGTGGTAAGTATAGTTAAAATCTTTTAAAGGACTAACCTTACATAGTTAAATGTCTCATTGCTGTGAGCCAAAGCAGGACGATAAGCATAGGTGTATTCCTTCACCGCCCACACCCACCCCCAACCCACACACACAGGCAACTATTCAGTTAGGCAAAAAATTCAACAAAAATTCAAAAAAGAATGATTTTCATATAACAGCTTCAAGTTTTACATAAACACATTCTTTAAAGAGAAACGAAAATTAACTTGTAATCAACAAAGAAGTAAAAAAATCACTGAACAAATATTTTTTATGTGCTTATTATATGCTCTGCAATGTGACTATAAAAAGAAAGTGCTGCCTAATATATGTATGTGATATTTTCAAATGTCACAAAAGATACCCACACATCTATCAATATGCTAAGAGTACTCAGGTTTAAACACAAACATTCAGAAAAGCAGGAATGATGCACACCTGGCAAACAGAACTTGACTAGATTTTGAATGCTACTTTTCTCTAAATAACAGCAATAAAATTAAATGGTTATTCACAACTATTACTCCCTGACAAAATGCTCATTACCTGAGCTGAGATTTCCTGAGTTGGATTCAGTTTGTCTTTTACCAAAAGTTAAGTTTTAAGGAATTTGTTTTATATAGACATTAGGTAAAATGAATTAGATAAAGTTATGAAAGTTCTAGTATCAGAAACATCTCTCAGTTTTAAAATTTGAGAAGCAAAGTTTGCTTACTTCTTTTGTTCTCACATGGCACTGGCGAAAAAATTTGAAATCAGTTTTAATCTACACATAAAATTAAGAAATAAAATATATCTACATGTCACTAAAAAAACTTCTAATGCCTTAGGATAATATTCTCTACTCTCTATTTTATGATACTCAGTAATTATGTTCAAGTGAGTGTATTTCAGGAACTATTACTTTCATGTTTTATTGTAATAAATTTAACTGTCGCAATTAAAATTAAACAGTTCCATACTTTAATTCAGGAGAAACTATAATGATCAGAATAAATAAAATGACTCTCTGTAATACCATGAAAAGTACAGGAAATAGCTTTCATACCTTACCAAGGATGCTCATGTTATACTGTTATGTAGTATGCCTCTGTTGTAGATGCATTTTTCTCCATCTGTTTTTTCCTACTACAACAGGAAGGATTTTATTTTCTCATTCTAAAACTGATAGGGACAAGAGGAGATAACCAGACATTCCCTACATTTACTTTAAAAAATTATTTTCGGGATGTCTTCCTCTGTAATTTTAGGATTATAAGCTATACTCATGTACAGTAGTATGACTAGAATTTTAAATAAGTTTTTTTTTTCTTCAAAAAAAGTTTCTTTCCATTGAACTACATTTATTTCTCTGCAACCTAACTGGTATGCAGTGCTATTGGGACAGAGGTCATAAAAGGTAAAAGTGATTCTGGTTCTCCATATCTCTAAACACATTTTTATTAACTTTTTTTTTGGGGGGGGTGTTATATTATGAACCTACAGGAGCATTATGTTTCTGCAGTAAGTGAATAAAGCACTTAATTTATATAATCAGCAATGGCACCATATTCAAAAAAACCCAAAAACCAAACCCACTACCGTGGAGTCAATTCTGACTTATAGCGACCCTATAGGACAGAGTAGAACTGCACCATGGGATTTCCAAGGCTGGAAATCTTTACAGAAGCAGACTGCCACATCTTTCTCCCATGGAGTGGCTGGAACTGCAGACCTCTGGTTAGCAGTAAGTGCTCGTAAATTTAGAAGTGACTCTATAAATCTGACCTATTAACAGAAATAGTTTCTAGAGACAAGGCAATCATTTTTACAGGTTTCAATAGCTGGTTTTTCTACTAAACTGTTTAAAATATCTTGATTCTGTGGTAAGATTACATGAATGCAGAAAAAACAGAGGAACCACACCTATGATTTCAAATTCACCACAGAACATTAAACAAAGCCAGGATGTAAACTAAGCACTAGAAGCAAAAACTTTCTATTCCAATTCAAAAGTTAATTCTACTCATCTAACTGCCTTCATTCATATGCCATTTCAATTTAAAAGATAAATTACCTGTATAACATCCCCATATATCTACTACGGTACATTGAGGTATTGTTTCTCTCATTTAGTTTTTTAGGGAAAATTTCTTCCAGCACTTTAACATAACTTGGTACAACTCTGAAAGGAAATTTGGCCGTGTAACTCAAAGACTCCAGTTCTAATTATCTTACATCACTCATACATGGTCTTCAAAGATATTCTTTGAAATCATTCTTTTTCTGGCTGTTGCTTCATAGGAGAATTAAATCAATTTAATTTTATAAATACTGGTTATGTGATAACCTGCAAGTTTTAAAAAGAATTGTGTAAAGTTGTATACTGACATGGAAGGATGTTCACAATATACTGCTTGGTGAAAAATGAAAGTTTCAGAACAGTATAAACAGATACATACAATATTTACATGTACACAGCAATAGTCTAAAAAATGTACAACATATTATTAGTAGTGAATATCCACACAAGAAGTAAGGTATTGACTATTTGATATTTTTTTTCCTCTAACAGGCACTCAACAAGTATCTCCAAGTTTCCTGAAGAATCTAATTTATAAATTGCATACCATTTAATTAAAATTCAAAATTTATGATTAAAAAAATATTTCTAAGTAGTTATATCACATATAGTTATTTTGTATTTATTCAATTGTCTCTGGTGTGTCATTCCAGAAATTTAAACTCTTACAGCCATTGAATGCTTTCACTTGAGCAACTCTGAAGACTGAGGATATTCCTATACTAATTGACAACAGCTATTTCAGCAAGAGAAGCCTCCTGTGTCTGAGTAAAATCAACAATTTTTAATACATAATAGTGCAAAAGATATTGTGACAATTTAGAAATAGTCTTAAATGTTACTCATTGGTTGTTAGAGACTCAAGAAGAAAATGGTTATTCTGAAGGACATAATGAAATAAAATTGTAATGTAAATTTGTGATTAAAACTTTGTAAGATATTCTAGTCTAGGGAGTGACAGTCTCTTTAAGCAGGCTGAATTATTATTGAAACTACTATCCTCAGAAAAACCAGGCAATTGGTAACAGGAATCACAGGTAATCAAATGTGCTATTATTGAAACTCCTTAGAAGCTTCTGAATTTAGAGAAGATGAAAAAGTATTTTATTCTTTAGGCTAAATAGAAAACCTAGGGAGAAATTATATATTGCAGTTTGGGGCATTCAGAGTATGAAGCCAGAAACAAAATGCAGAACAAACTAGATTTTTTAAAATAAAGAATGAGAATCAGATTCAAGGTAAGTTAAATTTTAAACGTTAACAATATGTGAGAAAAATCATTTACCAATAAATCAGTTTATTTCACTTATAAGCTACTCTGACAGCATAAGAAAAATGCTATCCCTACTCTTCCCTTCACCCCAACCCATCACCCTTTAGAGGGGATCTGCTTTCTCATGCCACTGTGGGAGCCTGGGGAAGTCTCAAGCTTTAGAGATCTCTTCCCCAATCAAAATAAATAAGCTAAACTGAAAGGTTCTTAATTAGATGTCTGTATCAGAATCTCCTGGGAGCTCTTGTGCCTGATTTACCCTATCGCTACCCTAGACTCTATTTGGTAGGTTTGACGTGGGGCCTAGGCATCTTTTGAGAATCACTGAAATAGATGAAGAAAAACTATTGCAAATATATTCTCTCTTAAAAAAAAAAAAAAAAATCTAACATTACACGTTCTGAATCAGTGATGCTACTACATACTATTCCTTTTTTTGCTTGGGCATGTGTGGACAGGGGAGGAAGTAAGGATGGAGCAGGAACAGGAAAGATCAATAATATCTTGAAACAAAAACAAAAAACAACACCTTACAATTCAGATAAAACCAAGCAATTTACCCTCAAAGAAACAAGACTTCAGTCCCTTTTTAGATAAACAGAGATATATTCTCACTTAATATTTATTAAGTGCCCTTTTAGGGCTAAAGGCCTCAGAAACTTTTGTTAAGAACAGAGACATTTCACTCATTCATTCAATAAATATCCATTATGCAATACTATTTGCAGTTACCACACTATTCACTACGGATATAGTAGTAAGTAACATAGATAAACATCCCAACCCTCATGCATGGAGCTTACATCGAGACAAATTAGCAGAAATTGTTTAACTACAGCTGATTCTGAAGCACATGATCTATCCTTTGCTGTATATTATAATAACAACACTCCTTGGTGGATGGATACACAGATGGAGCTAAGAGATGGGTAGAGAGACAGAGAGGGGTACAGTGACAGAGACAGGTAGAGATAAATAGGTTTTTAATGTATTTTTTTAAATATTTCTTTCCTGAGAAGGCAAGTCCTTCCATTTGCCCTTCATGCAACCATACAGCAATTTCACGTGTAAAGGGGATGTAGTATTGCCTATTTAGGCCTGGACAAATTCCAATAATATTTGATGCAACGTGTGTCTATATAAAAATTGACCCTAATATCAATGTTTTTCTTCTTTAACACCAGAACAAGCACGCTGCTAATGGCTGGCACTTTCACTGAAAAGTCTTTAAAAAAAAAATTAAAAAGTACTTCGGACAGAACTATGTCCTATTCAAAAGTCCTAAAGAAAATGGTAGAAGGATTTTAACAGAAAATTCTGAAGTAAATTGTTTAAATGAGAATTTAACATAGATTACAGACTATACTGACTGTGCAGAATAAGTGTCCTGAATATGTTTGTCGTCGATGTTGGTTGCCATCAAGTCAGTTTAGACTCCTGGTGACCCCATGTGTGCAGAGCAGACCACAGAGTTTTCAAGGCTGTGACATTTCAGAAGCAGATAGTCAGGCTTGTCCCCCAAGGTGCTTCTGGGGTTTGAATCGCCAACCCTTCAGCTAATAGTCAAGTGCTTAACCATTTGTGCCACCCAGAGACAACTTCTGGATATGATTAAATTACCATAATGAAATCCAAACACATTCTTCTGAGCATTCTTTTCAATTATTAGGTAGCTGTATAACCACAGCCTTAAACTGTGCTTTACACATTTTAAGAAAGCCCCTGAGGAGGCAAAAAAGAAATACTTAAGATGCCAAACTCACCTCTTGCCCTGATTTTCCTGAATTCTCTGAATGTAAAGACTCAATTTCTCCTTCAATCATAGCAGCTTCTAGGCACTCATGTAGGTCTTTGAACCCATTGACCTGAAGTGGGTACTGGCCAAACATTTCAGTATTTTCAAATTTTTTACCTACAGGAGGGGGAGAAATGTTAATTTAAATCAATGCATCTCAATATAGCCTTTTAGCTACTAAAAGTAGATGCTGATATGAATTATCTCTTGAACCTGAAAACTGTACCGATTTATGTTCCACAGAGGTGTGAGTGACTGTAAATTTTCTGTTGGTTTACACATGTACATTCATACGCAGCCAAAGATATCAACTGCACACACAGATGTCTGTCTGTCTGTATGTAATCATATACACACATATGTATGTACATATATTCATTCTTTCAACAAGCACCTTCTAAGGACAAGATACTGTGCTGAACAGAAAATATATACTGCAGTGAACAAGAGATAGCATCTCTAAGCTGACAGAACTCTCAGCTTCATTTGAAAGAAAGCCATTATATACATTAACTGCACACGTGATTATGTACAAATTATTATAAGTGTCAGGAAAGGTGTGATGAGACAAGGGTTATGAGAAGGTATAAAAAGGGAACTTAACCTAGTCTTGGGGGCTGGAAGGTAGAGAGGGGAAGATTTCCATGACAAAGTGGCATTTAAACTGAGACTTGTCCAGTGAGTGGGAGCTAGCCAGGCCAAAGAGTTTGTGGGGGAGGGAGGCTGTGAAGTATTCTTGGCCACGGAACAGAATGTGTAAAGGCTCTAAGTGTGCAAAGAACTTGGCATTATGAGGAAGTAAGGAAGGACAATATAGCTTGTGGGAGGAAGGGGAGGATAACAATGGAGAGTTAGGCAGGGAGTCAAGATCTACAAGGTCATATTGTCTCTGTCACAGAATTTTTTTTCCCTGTACCCTGAGTACAATGGAAAGTCTTTGAACAATTAAATCCTAGGAATGACAGGATCAGATTTATATCTCTGGCATATCCTTATGGCCTTTATGTGAAGTGGGTGGTAGACAATTGTAAGATTATTGAAGAATCCATCCGGAAATAAGAGAACTGTGGATTACAATGTTAATGGTAAAAATGTACAAAAAAAAAAAAAAAAAAAAGATGAAATTACACACACACACACACTCTTATACATATACTAATGAGGGGGCACCAACCAATTAATTGGCTCGCTGGCAGGATGGGGGAAAGAAGAGTAAGGAAGATATCAAGAATGACACTCAGATTTCTAGCATGAATAGCTGGATTGGTTTTTATATATGGAAAAGAACATGACTGGAGGGAGAGCAGAGATTCTTCTTTTCTGTTGAGGTAGCAGTGACAGTCATTACCTCAAAATGACTTATGAAATTTAAAACTGAAAAGAGAGCTGGATCTGACTCTGTAACTAAGATTAATCTTCTGGTCTGAACATGTAAATTGGAGAACTGCTGGCTTATTGATAGCAAAGAATCAAGGGAGTGAATGTGATTACCTAGGAAATTAGTACACAGGAAAAGGAAGAAGGCCAAAGGAAAAGGAAGCTGAGCACCAATGATCTCCTATCTTTAACAGTCAGATCCAAGAAGAGACTACAAATATGACTTCTAAGAAGTACCCAGGGCAGCAGGAAAAAAGCCAAGAGAATGTGGTGCCGCAGAAGCCAGGGAAATGCATTTTCAAGGAAAGAATGCATAAAGGAGGATCAGGAGGAGAGTAGAGTCAACAGCATTAAAAGTTGATAAGGAGTTCAATATGAGAACTGAAAGGGATCTAACAGATTTGACCATATGTAGGAAATCAATAACCTTAGAAAGATCCATTTTAGGTGAGGTGTGGGGTCAAAAGTTAGAGTGGAGTGGGCTGAATAAACGGGAAGTACGCAGGTGAAAACAAACTCCTCCCTTTAAGATACTTAACACTGAATGGGAGCAAAGTTAGAATGTTAACTGGAAAATAGTATGTGAAGAGAGAAATTTTTTATTTTTAAGATGTGAGATACCAGACCATGTCTTAATATTGACGAGGAAGACCCAGTGGAGAGGCAGAAGCTTAAGATACAAAAGAAAAGCAGGATAATGGACAGAGTAAGGTCTAGTGAAAGCACAAAGAGATGGCATTCTGAACACATAAAAAGAATAACCTTTTGATATTGCTGTTGTTAGGTGCCACAGAGTTGGCCCCAACTCACAGTGACCTTATGTATAACAGAATGAAATGTTGCCCACTACACATCATCCTCACAATCACAGCTATATTTGAGCCCACTGGTGCAGCCACTGTGTCAATCCATCTCAATAAGGGTCTCTCTGTCACTGACTCTGATGTCTTCCTCCAGGGATTGGTCCCTCTTGATAACACGTCCAAAGTGAGAGAGACAAAGTCTCACCGTCTTCACTTTTAAGAATCATTTTACTTGTACTTTCTCCAAGACAGATTTGTTTGTTCTTTTGGCAGTTCAATATTCTTTGTCAACACCACAATTTGAACGTATCAGTTCTCCCTGGTCTTCTTTTTTCACTGTTCAGCTTTTGCATGCCTGTGAGGTGACTGAAAATACCCTGGCTTGGGTCAGGCACACCTCAGTCATAAAAGTGACATCTTTGCTTTTTAACACTATAAAGAGGTCTTTTGCAGCAGATCTGTCCCATCTGTCAGTTTGTTGTACTGTGGTGGTTTGCATGTTGCCTTCTGATGTAAAACTGGATAATTCTTTTACTATATGGTGGAGAAGGGATGGACCCAGGTTGTGAAGCCTGAGGCTCAGATATGTGAGGAAGTCTTTCTTAAGAAATAATATACTAAACTACAAACACAAAATTAGGTTCAGGGCCCTGAACAGGATCCATGGTTAAGGTTCATTAGCTTCATGGTAAATTCATGAAGTTCGAGCCAACATCATTCTCAGAGAATGAAGAGACTAAGAAGTTAGATTTGAAATGACTGGAAAAGATGAAAAGAGTTACTGAAGAAAATGCGAGTGAGAACAGTGATTAAACAAAACAAGTATCACTGCAGGGCAGGGTTACAGGATTGGGGCCAGTGGAGCTTAGTTTCACTACAGATACTTGATCATTATAATGGGCTGATTTGTGTGACTTTTCTCCAACATTTATTTAGTCAGTACATGCAGAGAAAATATGAACAGTTTAATGAGGATCAGACAATAGGTAGGCAGGATACCAGAACAGCAAGGGAGAAAGAGAGTTCTAGAGATTTATAAGAGTGAAAGCAATGATCAAGAAGGAAGCAAATGAAGTACAGGAAAGGACTAAGAGGAACAAAGTAAAGGTGTCAAGGAACTAGAAGTTCTGGAAAAGCTGAAGAACACAGGGACTTCAGCAAACAACTGGAAATAGAGTTATCAGAGGTAGTGGAGTTATGGCAATGATAGCATATCACAGTAGGAGTTGAGAGCTGAAGCAGAACGGAAGAGAAAGTCAATGGCAATGAGGAAGTCAAGGAAATGAAAAGCAAGAGTACATAATGGATCATCTTTGTGGGCAGTGAAATAGTAAGCTGATGGCAAGAGTTAAAACGGAGAGGATAACTGTGAGCTAATCTTCAATAAAAAAAAGAGAGATAAGGATTAGGGGAGTCAATTGATGAATTCATCAAAAATGATGGTATAATCTGATAGAATAACCAACTTAGCAGGAATTTTTTTTTTGGAAACAAAGAAGGCAGGGAAGCAGTGGTCTAAAACAAGGTTTATCAACCTCAACGCTACTGACATTTTGTTCCAAATAATTCTTCACTGTGGTATCTGTTCCACGCATCACAAAATGTTTGGCAGCAGCCCTGGCCTCTCCCCACCAGATGACAATAGTAACCACCTCCTACCCACCTAGCTGTGAAAACCAAAACTGTCTTCAGACATTGCCAGATGTTCCATGGGGGGTGAAACTGCCTCTAACTGAGGAGCACTGGTGTAAAATAAAGCACAGGAAAATATATGCAAAAATGATGAGAAAGTGCTCTAAAATATCCTTACTCAATCAAACGTATCATTCATGTGGAAATGTATTAAAATCATGTTTGTATAGCACACTCTCTTTGAAGTAACTTACTGGTATTGAGCACAAAGACTTTAATACTCATTGACAAATTAAGAATTCATATAACAATCATTTTTAAGAATCACAATAAGTAGAAATATTCATGCACTGTATTATAAACAGTGCCTGGTCACAACCTTATTAGAGATACTGCTTCAGATACAGTACTGTACTTAAAATAAAACCAGTATAATATGGACATCCCAAATTGGAACATAATGCACTATGTAAAGTATTCCACTCAAATAATGAATATTTAGCATTTAAGGCCAAAAAAAAAATGTACTGACACCTCAATATAATCTTTTAAATGCCTGAATAAATTTTGAGTTAATGTCTGCCTTCTTCTGTATTCCATACTAAAAAATTATATTCAAACAAAACTTCATGGGAATTCACTACTCGAGATCCTGAAAGAAAAACAATTTTCCAAATTTTATACTTTGGGGGATTTGGGAAAAATAATTTTCAAATGTCGATGCATTTAGAAATTTGGAAAAAAATTCTTTTTCTTTCAAAAGTTTATGCTTTGGGACTTATTATTATATGCAGTATATGTAGTGAGCCCAATTCCCTTCCCTTGCTAGGACAACCAAAGATAAACTGATTAAGTCCGGATTATAAGTAACAGGTATTCAGGGTAGATGAAGTAATATCACTCTTAAGCAATTTTTCAAAAGATAGAGTACAACCCTTTTTGAAAACTAGTGTCTAAAGAATTTTATAATCACTCAAAAAATGGGGACCCTGCACTACCATAACTATGCTAAGTTGGTAGGTTCAGCTTTTAACAGGAGGCTAGCATGCATAGACTTGAAATTCTTCAAAAAAAAGTGACCACCATACCAAGCTCCAATATTCCCTGCAAAGGATCCACCAATTGTCCCATAAATCCCTATATTCCAACAATTCACAGTATAACAGATGCCTTCTCACTGGAAAGACCATCAGGGTAAGATTAACTAAATATCAATTAACATGTGATAATGCATTCTGCACCCTCCTTTTCAGTCACTCGATTCTGTGTTGTCTATGCAAACGATCAGTAGCAGCAATGTAACAGTAACTACTACACAGAGCAAGTCAAATTAAAATTAAAACCTTTCAACAAATATTGAGTCACTATCAAGACAGAGAAGCTAGTAGATAACAACATTCCTTCACTTGTAATAAAAAGTAAACGTGCAACTATACCTTCAAGCACTCCCACGGCTAGGAATCGTCCATAGAACAACTCTACCATCGGGTTCTTTGGCTTCTCTTCATCCCTAAAGCATGTTAAAAAAACATAAATGTGGCTATGTTTTTTTGATTTATAAATAATAAACATATAAAATATTAAACAAACTATAAGATACAATGATAATGTTTTTGTGGTTGTCATGCACTCGGGCTCTACTAATTACAGTGTCACCTTGGGCAAGGTACTTAAATTAATGCTTTCATTTCTTCGCCTGTAAACTGAGGATAATAGTAATTTAACTCCTAGGAATGTTTTAAGGGTTAAGATGAGTTTATATATGGAACACACTTCAAAGAGTACTTGACAGTATGTACTCAATAAGTGCTTGCTATTTTTATTATCATTGTAAAATTAAATCTCACACTTTTAGTCTGAACAAAATATACTTATTTGAACTTGTTGAGAAGGGGGAAATCCACTCTCAAACAGAATACGTTTCTATAAAATTTTAATATTTCATTTCCTATTTTTATGTAGATGAGCGCACATCATCCAAAACTAAGACCGTCAGCAGTGAAGGCCTGCTCTGTCCCTTGATAAGGGTGTTATATGCTTCATCGTTTAATACTCAGAGCAACTGATGGTCAGTGTTTCACTTAATCCTTACAACAATTCTGTGGTAGTCTTCATGCTATTCAAAAGTGTTTCTGGTCGACCCTCCACTTTCAGGTAAAAGGAAAGAAGCACTTTGCAAAAACTCACTGCCAAAGCAGCTCTCAAATGCCACATCCTATGACAGAAGACAGTCTGCAAAAAAATGATTTTCTTTTCTCCTCAGATATTGTGGCCTTAGTGTCATAACTGATCTCTTGAGAGATTTCTCCCAACTGAATTAAAGTTCACAGCTTGCTGTCTGCAACCAACTGGGCCTTTATGACTGGCATGCTGGCAGAACTAAAACCAAGACAATTTTCTCTACCATACTTCCCAGAGTTTCTGCTACAGTTTTCAGCAACAGTACCTTGTCTCTGGACTGCACTAAGAATTAAGTTCTGGGAAAAAAATAATAATTTTGACAAACAGCTAAAGTGTTCGAATTTTTGCTTTTGTTTCTGTATTTCAAAAGGGGCCAATATTAATCAGCGAGTCCTAATAACCCTCTGAACTCTAAAACTAAAGCAGATGAAATTCAACCTCTGAAGTACTACAGGATCTATACCCATACAATGGAAGACATGCAAGCTGCAGCTACAGAACCCCTAGTCTATTCAGGCACAGAAATGATGTATATGCAGCTGAGGCTGAATAACCTAAAGGACTTGGAAATGATTTTTCTTTTTGTTAGACTGTAAGAGAATTTTATTTTTGACCTTAACTTAAACTTTATTTCTCAAGGGAATGTAATTTGGAAACTTAAGTCTTCCTTGGAAATTTGCTAATGAAAGGGGGTCAATATGAAAGTTTGGGAACAATCATTGCTGCTAACATTGCATTATTAGAACATTCTTCATTTAATCTCATTGCAGACCATTAATAATGATCTTTATTGGATAAGGAAGCTGTGCATAATTAAAAACAGAAAAAAGGGAGAAAATCTCAGTACTGGGTATGTTATATTCTAGGCATTAATGTAACTACTGTACCTTGCCAACTCATATCAGAGCCCTGTGGAAGCAAAGCCTAAATGGTCCACCAGAGTTTCAAAAAGGCACACAATGGAACAAAGGCTTCATATTAGGAAAGTGGCCTCATGGGGGCGGGGGTGGGGGTGGGGGGGAGGAATCACCCTGAAAGTGTGCTAATTTCTTCCTCTACAGAGGCCAGCCAGGCATTTTAAATAACCAGTCTTAATGGGTAGACCCAAATGGTAGGCAATAAGAAGGTAGGGAGTGTTGAGAAGAAACTACGTATCTGTTCTCACGTTTCCATGCGAAAGAACTTCGCCAGAATTAACACTCCTAGCCTCTTTCTCCACCATTAACCTATTCCTCCTCATGGAAAGTGATTATTGAATCTAAGGAGAAGAACTGTGCATGTGTGGATTAACCCTTCTGGGGTTCATTATTTAGATCTTTTTGGACAGATTCTGATCTTACAGTAAACACCTGAAGCTATTCGGCATTTGTAGTCACAAATTACAAATGGCTTGTCAATAACATAGATAACATTTAGATTCCCATAAGTCTGTCTTGGTTCCATTTTTCAGCTGATACTGAATATATAAGAGGAAAAAAACGACCTTCTAAAATCTCATCATTAAACTTCATGTTAACTTACGTTTCCTCTTCAGCTTTCATTTGAAAGGCATCTTCTAACCAATCTAATAATTTGTGTGTAAACTCACTCACGTCTTGCTGTGGGAAGAAAAAAAAAGGCTTGCTCATATTTGTGCCCACTCATAAAGAAGCTAAATGTCACAATATAAAATCTATAGCCAGTCATTTAAATGCATAATTACTGACCCCCATACAATGGTTATCATATCAAGCGTTTCATATTACGTGCAAGAAATTTTTATAATCAGTATGAAATCAATATTTAAGAAAAATAAGCATTATACTGATCATCACTGTCACTGCGTTTCTGTTTAAGAAAATAATATTAAAATTCAAACTTACAAATGTGATTTAAAAAAAAAAAAAAGAGCTATACCCCAAAGAGAGTTCTGTAATGAATCTTTATAAAATGGAGGGCCCTCATTACCAAAGGGTTCTTCGTTTTATAAAGATTATTAATGGTGTCTCTCATAGGAGGAAGACTAGTGCTTTTTGACAATAAATTTATTTTCTTACTTCAACTTACACAACTTTTTAAGCCACATCCACTTTAAGTAATATATCTGTTAACTTGGAAAGGTTGAGTCCAACCAATCACTGATCCCCCGACTGTCAAGTCTTCAGTGAAGCAGAATTATACCACTGCTCTATGAACCTCAAACTGATCTTCTACACAGAACCAACACATACATCATCTTTCACCTTCCCTTCCTTCGGTCCTTGCTCCCTAACATAGGAAAACAGGAATAGATGATAACAGTAGCACATATAAGCTACCATAATTCTTCCAAATAATGTGAGCTGGAACATAGAACACAGGAAAAAATAAATAAATCAGCCCCACTAAGACTGCCCAACCAAAGACAGATTAAATCAAAATAAGCAATTTGTCTTTACTAATAAAAATAGGCCCACGTATGAAATTAACTTACTGTCATACATTTTTCAAGCTAGGAGTTTGAAGAGCATCTAGACTAAACTATGCATCTTAAAAATGTTGAAACTGAGGTCTAGAAAGTTTAAGTAAATTGCTCCAAAGCCATAAAGTTAAAAAAAATAAAAATAACTCAGCACGAAAATCCAGTTATAAATATCCATACCACCTATAGTGGTTAGAATAGGGCCCCCCCACCCCACAAATATATGTCCATCTGGAACCTCAGATTGTGATCTCATTTGAAATAAAGGTCTTTGTAGATGTAATTAAGGTAAGGATCTCAAGGTGAGATCATCCTGGGTTAGAGTGGGCCCTCAATTCAATCACACTTGTCCTTACGAGACAGAAAAAGAGAAGACAAAAAAGACACCCAGAGGAGAAGGCCATATAAAGACAGAGGAAGAGATTGGAGTTACGCTGCCACAAGCCAAGGAACTACCAGAACCTGGAAAAAGCAAGGAAGGACTTTTCCCTAGAGCCACTGTAGGAGTATGGCCATGCCAACACCTTGATTTCAGACTCTGGCCTCCAGAACTGTGAGAGAATACGTTTCCGTTGTTTTAAGCCACTCACTTTGTGGCAATTTGTTACAGCCACTCTAGGAAACTAAAATAGCATCTTAAAACAATGTTTTACACTTTTCTGTAACTTTACTTTTCTTGCAAGACTATATCTGGCAAGAAATATACAGGTTTCCTAGTTACCATAATACTCTTAGAAGAAGTTACTCTGTCTTCTTAAGCAATTGTATTAGTTTCCTAGGGTGCTGCAACAAAGTGTGACAAATTGGGTGACTTAAAACAATATAAATTTATTCTCTCAGAGTTCTGGATGCTAGAAGTCTGAAATCAGTGTACCAGCAGTGCTGATTCCTTATAAGGGCTCTGAAAAAGAATCGTTCCATGCCTCTCTCCTAGCTTCTGGTGATGGTCAGCAATTATTGGTGTTCCTCCTCCTTCTCTGAGAGCTTTCCTCCTTCCCTCTCCCCTGCTGGGGGAGAGGTCACAGGCTCCACCTCCTCCCAACACTGTACAACCTTAAGGGACGCCGGACATATACGGTCAGACTTTGCCCGAAAGGACATTATGCCGTGCAAGACTGGTGTTCGCACAACATCCAAATCACATAACATCCTATTTTACAGAACGTATTATGGACATTAAGTGACACATGACTGTATTTAGAATATTTAGGAAGAATACTAAATGTAAGTTTGAATCCATATTTTTTAAAAATAATGATGCTTACTTTACTTATCGATTCATTCTATTATATCACTAATGTGTACTTTAGATTGAAGTGTTTGGGGGAAGAGGAGAGAATCAACTCTTTGCAGCCTGAAGTGATGTGCATTCTACTCTAAAAGACCCCTAGAGAAAGAGAATCAACAATGAGAAAACTAATTAGTGTCTACACTGCTAACACAAAGCAAAGGTATTTCCACTATGACATTCAGAGGCAGATAACAGAGTAACAGCTAGTTGTCTCCTTTTACATATATAACTCCTAATAAACTTTGTGCAGCTTCATCTTTAAATATGAAAATATAACCAAAGATTACCAGACATCTGTGGAAAGCCTCAACACAAGTAAAACAAAAAGAAAAATAAGTTCCAAACGAAAAGATAAACCAGGGAACAGTAGTGATTTTTAAAGTTTAATTGTATACTAAGGCCACTGGAGAAGGTAGTGTGTGTGTGTATATATGTATGTATGTGTATATATACTAAAAAAAAAATAAAATAAGATAAACAAAGCCATGAAAAAGATATAAAAATAAAAAAGAGAACCAGGAGTATCCTAAAATAAAAATATGACTGTTGAAATAAAACATTTAACAGAAGAATTGGAAAATAAAGTGAAGGCAATACCCCAGAACATATAACAACAAAAAGATTTGTAGATGGAAAATATGAGAGAAAAGGACGAGAAACGAAGTAAAAATAGGAAGCGCAAGATGTAAAAAACAGACTTTGAGAAATAGAGAATACAGAAAACTGAGAGAAGAAAATTATAGACAAAAAATACTCTGAGCCATGGAAAAAGTAAGAAGACATAACACAAGAAAGAAATCAGTCTTATGAGTAAACGTAAATGAGTTTAACTTGCTGTTAAGGGTTGAATTGTGTCCGCCAAAAATATATGTCGAAGTCTTAACCTCTGGTACCTGTAAATGTGATCTCATTTGAAAACAGGGTCTTCACAGGTGAATCAAGTTAAGGTCATCAGGGTGGGCCTTAATCCAATATGACTGGTGTTCTTACCAGTAGAGGAGATACATAGACACATAAAGAAGGCCATGTGACAATGGAGAAAGACTGGATGACGCATCAAAAAGCCAAGCAATGCCAAGGACTGCTCAAAATCCAAAAGTTAAAAAGGCATTAAACAGATTCTCCCCTAGAGTCTTCAGAAACAGCATAGCCCTGCCAAACTGACAGAATACATTTCTGTGGTTTCAAGCCACCTACTTTCTGGTAATTTGTTACTGTAGCCCTAGGAAATTAATACACTCATCTATCAAATGAAAAAGATTTTAAAATGGACTTATAAACTAAAACCCAACTGTATGCTACGTGCAAAAGACATAATTAAAATGCAACAATACAAAAAGAGTAAAAATAAAAGAATTCAAAATAATAAAACAGCAGGAGTTAAGACTGCGCTATTAGATAAAGCAGGATACTTACTAATGCTAAAAGTCACAATTCACAGTGAAAGCTTTAAGTTATATATATCTATGTACCAAATAACATAGTCTATATAAAACAGGAAGTACAGGAGATGCCAAAAAGGAAATATACTGAACCAATAAAAATAAAGAGTCTTTAACACACCACTCAGGATAAGGGAGTCTGGTGGCACAGTGGTTAAGCATTTGGCTGCTAACCAAAAGGTCAGCAGTTTGAATTCACCAGCCACTCCTTGGAAACCCTCTGGGGCAGTTCTACTCTGTCCTATAGGGTCGCTATGATTGAGAATCTACTTGATGGCAATGGGTTTTCTCAGGATAAGAGAGGTAAAGTGGACAAAAATAAGCAAGCATATATATCAGATCAATATAATCAGGTAGATCCCATAGTTCTATAAGGAACACTACACCTTAAGAGACAATAATACAAATGTAACATTCATAAAAACTCATCATGAATTAAAAAGCAAACCAAACACACTGCTATGGAGTCGAAATCTGACTCATAGTGACCCTACAGGACAGAGTGGAACTGCCCCATAGGGCTTCTAAGGCTGTATGTAATCTTTACAGAAGCAGACTGCCACATCTGTCCTCTGCAGAGCAGCTAGTGGGTTCGAACCGCCTACCCTTTGGTTAGCAGCTGAGTACTTAACCACTGTGCCACCAGAACTCCCTGATCATGTATTAGGTTTCAAAAAAAATTAGAAAATTCCATTAGTTAAAATATTATGAGCAACATTCTCTAACCACAATGCAATATAATTAGAACTTAAAAACAAAATTAAAGACAAACTTCACTGCCATCTTTTCCAACACTGTCGCTCTTATTCTCCGCTACGTGTTTCCTTTCTCTTTTGTTTTCCTTCTTTAATTTCTCTGATTTCTCATATTATAGATGAAAATGTTGGTTCATTTATAGATATTTCTATTTTTATATGAAAATATCCAATATTATTTTTAAGAAATAGATAAAAAGCCACCATAATAGCATTACATAAAGAATGGAAAATAAAAAGTTCATGTCTTTCAGAAAATTTCTGTAATTAAGAAGAAATATAAACAGATAAAACATATATACTATTTAAATATGAGAAAAACTTTTCACGTTTACACAGCTGTCATTTCCAACATTATAAACATTATAAGGAAGTATGTGTGTGTGTATATATACATGTATGCATATGTGTATATCTACCAGCACAAACAGGCATATCAAAAGCATGTATACTATTACATCAGTGTTAGATTATACACATTCATGAAGATTTTTAACTATACATTTGTAAACATTTTTAATTTTATTGTTTTCAATTACTAATTTCAACCATAATAAGACACACAACTTCATTTATCTTAACACCTTCAATGTCCTTATTCCTTTTTTTCTTAATCTAAAAGTAAGTCTTCTAAATAAACAATGTTTTAAGTGGCTCCAGGTTATTTTTAAGAAAGCTGAATAACCACATCTTAAATTGTCATGTATCATTGGAAACGCCACTGAAAGAACAATCAGATTAAATAAAATACGAAATGATTAATAAACAAGTACAACAAAGCTACCTGCTGAGAGTCATTTGATTTGAAAGCATCCTTAAGAATTTCAACTGCCCTTGATGGATCAACATATTTCCTTTTTGTACCGACAAGAAGTGCAAACAGATACCGAAGCTCACGCATAAAAGGCAAATTCCGATGCTCCTGTTAAAAAAATAAACGAAACCTAAATGAAGATTATAAAAATTTGCTAGTAAGCAGATAGTTATTTTAAATTAATCAAAAATGAAACTAAAGGATATATATTAGTGATGTGTTCAGCACTCATCCATCATAATTAAAGAACAGCAGAGAACCTAACTGGTCCTCAGCTCACAATTGCAGCCTAAGTGCCACATATTCATAGCAAACCATGAAGAACTTCTGTACATGCCATTACCCAGGCAGGAATATGCTCCTCATTCAAGTCTGTTTATTATGATCTTTCTATTCAGCAAGGTCCAGCTGCTACTGATGACAGCAACAATAACACCTTCAATGAGTGCTTACTACGTGCCAGGCGCTGTTCTAAGTGCTTTACCTCAATAAACCCATTTAAGCAAATTCTTCCTCCTCCTCCATGTAGCCTTTCGAGACACTTCCAAGTCAATGACCCCCTCAAATTCCACACCTACTGAAATAAACACCTTTCATTCAGCAATGAATTACCAAAGGCCACTGCTGTGTTATGACCTTAGACTAATATACCATCCTTCTACTTTTCCTTTTCAAAATCTTAATTGTTGTACTGCTTGTCAGGAAGGCTGTAAGCTTCTAAGGGATGAAAATTCATATACCTCTTCCACAACTTTTTGCTACACAAAGTAAACAATTCTTATTGGTGGATAAACCAAACCTTCCAGAAAGAACATAACCACCCATACTATCAATCACAATTTATTTTAAAACAAAAAAGAAACTTTAAAAAACGTAATTCATACCCATTTACCCACTGCCATCAAGTTGATTCCGACTCCTAGCAACCCTATAGGACACAGTAGAACTGCCCCCACAGGGCTTCCAAGGGGTGTCTGGTGGATTCGAACTGCCGACCTTCCGGTTAGCAGCTGAGCTCTTAACCACTGTGCCACCAAATCAGACAAGAATGTCTTAAAACATTTATTTCTTGCAATAAAAATTTTAACAGAAAAAGTTTATGTATACTACTTAAATATTATACAACATTATAAAACTGTACAAGTATGTATGTATATGTGTGTGTGCTCTGTATAGTTGCTGTCCAGAACAATATCATCAAAACAGTCTTAAGTGATAAGTAGAAAGGAATAAAGCTGCCTGCAAATACTTGGCATAGGATCTAAAAATTACATACCATTACATCAATCACAAAGTACACTGACTAAGTCTGACAGAATACTAAATTACAGAAAACACAGATTTTATTTAAGTACAATAAACATCAACAATATGAAAGGCTAAAATGTAAGTTTTTAAAGAAAACTAATTCATGATTTTCTCTGCTACATCCTACTCCCCCACCAATTACCCTATATAAACAAATTTAAAAAGCATATATATTAAGAATGTCAATTCACAAAATGATTTCCACGAATACACTTAATTTCCTGAGATCAATTTTTTTATTTATCACTGCACATAAACCAATAGTTTTTTTAGACATCCTCTGCAAAGTAATAAGGTTAAAAGTAATGACTTGAAAATTAAAATTATGCTGAGAAGCAGAGAAGAAAAGTAAAATAATAAAATAGTTTTGCTTTCAACCAATTCGGGTGGCTAGAAAATGTTCTTGAATTTCAAAAAGCAAAATGAAAATACTATTAAGAAAAGCTGTACATACAGGGTCACTATGAGTCGAAACTGACTCGACAGCACCTAACAATAACAACAACGAGCAAGAACAAACAAATCTATCCTGGAAGAAGTACATCCAGAATGCTCCTTAGAAGCAAGAATGGGCGAGACTTCATCTCACGTACTTTGGACATATTATCAGGAAAGACCAGTCCCTGGAGAAGGACATCATGCTTGGTAGAGGGTCAGCAAAAGAGAGGAAGACCCTCAACAAGATGGACTGACACATAGTGGCTGTGACAATGGGCTCAAATGTAGCAAGTACTGTAAGGATGGCACAGGACCCGGCAGTGTTTCATTTTGTTGTACACAGGGTGGCTATGAGTCAGAACTGACTCAATGGCCTTAATAACAACAACAATTTTTCAGTTTAAATTTCCAATTGTGTGTTCCTAATATTTATAAATACAACTGATTTTCATATATTGACCCTGTATCACCCAACCCTGTTAAACTACTTTCTTGGTTCTCATAGCTTTTTGTTGTAGAGTACTTATGATTTTCTACACAGACAACTCATCTACAAATAAAGACAATTTTATTTCCTCCTATCCATTCTGCATATTTATTTCTTTTTCTTGCCTTATCTACCTTAGAGCCCCAGTCTAATAGAAGTGGTAAGGGCTGATATTCTTGTTGTTTCCTGAACATTAGGGAAAAACATTAACTAGTATGTTACTTGTAAATTTTTCATAAATGTTCTTTATCAGGATAAGGAAGTTCCTTTCTATTACAGTTTCTGAGAGATTTTACCACGAATATATGTTGGCTTTTGTCAAGTACTTTCTCTGTATCTACTGGGTCTGTTAATATGGTGAATTACATTGACACACTTTGGAGTGCTAAACCAATCTTGTCTGGATAAACTCTCTTTGTCCACAATGTATTATCCTTTTTATTTGCCAAAATTTTGCTATAAAATTTTGCTTCTACACTCATGAGTAATACTGGTCTGTGGTTTTCTTGTAATATATTTTTATATTTTCAGTGTCAGGATAATCCTGGGCTCATAAAATGAGTTGAGAAGTTTTATCTCTTCTTTAACTTTCTGGGAAAATGTACAGAGAATTAGTATTATTTCTTCCTTAAATGTCTGGTATAATTCAGCAGCAAAATATCCGTGCTGTTAAATTTTCTGGTGAGAAAGTTTTCAACTCAAACTTCAATTTAAGTATACGGCAACTCAGGTTTTCTAGTTCTTCATCAATGAGTTTCAATAGTCTGTTTTCAAGGTATTTGTCCATGGTTTATAATATCCCCCTATTCTCTATTGCCCTATTTCCCTATTTTATTGTGTAGAAGTTATGGAATGATATCCCCTTTTCATTCCTTATATTGGCAAATTTACGTTTTTTCTCTTTATTCTATCTCAGTCTAGCTAGAAGTTTATCAATTTTGCTGGTCTTCTCAAAACAGCAGCTTTTGGTGACATTAATTTTCTCTATTGTTCTGGTTTCTATTCCATTGATTTCTGCTCTTATCTTTACTATTTCTTTTCTTCTGGGATTAATATACTTTTTTTTCTGATTTCTTCATGTGACAACTGCTATTATTGACTTCAAAACTTTTTTCTCTTCTAATGAGGTATTTAGCTCATAAATTTTCTGCTAAGCACTGCTTTAGCTGCATTCTACTAATTTTCATATGTCATGTTTTAATTTTTATCCAGTTCAGCATATTATGTACTCATCTGATTTTTTTTGTTTGTACCATGCGCTGTCTGAAGTTGTATTATTTAGTTTCCAAATATCTGAGGATTTTCTAGATATTTTTCTGTTGTTAACATCTAACTTAATTCTACTGTAGCCAGAAAACACACTTTGTATTATTTAAATCCTTTAAACTTTATTAAGGCTTATTTTCAGCCCAGATTATAGTTTATCTTAGTAAAGGTTCCATGTGCACCTGAAAAGAACATATATTATACAATTGTCAGCTTTAGTGTTCCATAAATGTCAATTAGGTGCAACTGGTAGACAGTGCTGTCCAAATCTTCTATATCCTTACTGATTTTCCATCTACATACGTTATAGATTGAAGGAGGGATGTTCAACTCTCTGACCATAATTGTGGATTTGCCTCTTCTACCTTTCATTTGTGTCGGTTTTTACTTTATGTCTTTTAAAACTCTGTTATTAGGTGAATAAAATTTTAGGATTTTAATGTCCCTTTGATGAACTGACCCATTTATCATTGTGAAATTACCTTCTTTATTCCTGGCAACATTCTTTGATCTGAAATCTACTGAGATTATATAATAGCCTCTACAGCTTTCTCTTTGATTAGCATTAGCATGGTATATATTTTTTCATTCTTTTATTTGTAACCCATTTGTGTCTTTATATTTAAAGTGGGCTTCCTTGTAGGCAGCATGTAGCTGGGTCTTTTTTTTTTTTTAATCCAGTATGACAATCTCTGCCTTTTAAAAGGGGTGTATTATTTATATCTTTCACTGAATGTGCTTATTGACATGGTTTGATTAAATCTATCACGTACTAGTGGTAAGGTTCGTATACTTTATGTGCTGTAAGGTTCTTATGTGATACATGTTTAGTTGCCTTGGTGTTCCCAAACTATAAGCTCCATCTCCTCGATATGGGGACACCACTCTTTCTAGTTGGGTTTCCTCTCCCTGTGCTTCAGCCTAGCAATCACGGTGCTCACCTCATTTGATTCTCTTCTCTCAAGGATATCCTGTCTTGTGCTACCTATGGTCCAGTCACCGAAAACAGTTGTTTTATATGTTTTATCTAGTTTTTTATTTGTTTAAGATGGAAGAGTAAATCCAGCCTCTATTACTTCATTATGGCCAGAGGCAAAAATCTCAGCATGTCTCTTTTATTTATAAAATTCGAAATATCTTCAGGTATTTGTTCCAGGAATATAGTACAGTATTCAACTAAACACATTCCCTTCTCATTTGCTTCTCACTTCTAAGTAGTGGCAAGTGGGGGAAAATATTGTTTGTTTGGAACTATTCACCCTAAATCAAGACTTTGCAAGTAATATAACCTTACAATTAATAAGACTTTGCTATTTATGTGGCTATTTCCTCTAAATATTATGAGCTTGAGCATCTTTAATGGAACCTAGTGCTGCAGTGGTGAAGAGCTCAGTTGCTAACCAAAAGGTCAGCAGTTTGAATCCACCAGCCACTCCTTGGAAACCCTATGCGGCAGTTTAACTCTGTCCTATGGGGCGCTGTGAGTTGGAATCAACTCGATGGCAATGGGTTTGGTTTTGGTTTTTGGTATGCATCTTTGTTTCCTTAAACTAATAGATTTTTTGTCATCATTTTGTGCTTTTTAACCCAAAAGAGAATATGTGTGAGTGGGAAAGGAAGATGGTTACGGTGGGTATCTATCTTTAAATTTCTAGTAATCTCACAATTCTCCTAGACACTGTTATGTCAAACAGTTCAAATAAATATGGATTTATAAAACTGGTCCCAATTTCTCGAAGGAATTATAAAGTCTTACCTAAAATGTAAACTAATTTCAAAGACTCTATCTCTTTTTTTTAATTCAACATGTTTATAATACTTGTGGCAACCTTTAACTGCTAATAAAAAAATCCTGCTTAGCATAGCATACAAATAACATCTCTGTGATTTGATCTAAGTGATCCAAGTGTATTCTGTATATTAACATGTTAGTTTTCAAGCTCAATGTAGTGGTAAACATTACATGAGTTCGACTTAAATTCATTATTAAATGATAAGTGACAAAAGTCATCCTGACACCTTTTATAAAACTCTCCCTTCTATCACCTCAAGTGAATACAGCACCAATCAGTGCCTGATCAAAAAACCAAGCCAAACCCACTGCTGTCGAGTTGATTCCGACTCGACCATGTAAGTGAGAGTAGAACTGTCCCACAGAGTTTTAGGAAAGCAGACGGCTACATCTTTCTCCCTCAGAATGGCTGGCAGGTTTGAAGTGTTGACCTTTTGGTTTGCAGCTGAGCGCTTTAACCACTGTGCCACCAGGGCTCCAGTGGCGGATAATTACCTATAAAACCCACGTTTGTTTCAAAGGCATCAAGTTATAGTGTGTACTGCTGTCAACATGTCAAATTAAAGAAAAATTTCATTTGAGGAACAATCTTATATAAAATTGCACACTGTTCTTCTAAGTAAGTGTCTTTTTCAGAAGGTAAGTGAGGGAGTCTTTTAATTCTTAAGCTAAAGGGACGTTTAGAAATCCTAGCTCTTACACTGTGAGAAACAAACTTTTCTAGAAAGGTGCTGAAGACTGGATTTACATTTCCCTAGTATTCAGCTGAACATTCTCTTGAACCTAAAACTAGCCCCAGTATACAAAGCATGGGTTACTGCAAATGTTTATGCTTGTTTTGGCAATGTTTTATTAATAATTTCTTTTATTTTGTTATTGTTGAAAATATACACCTTAGAACATATAATTATTTTTTAAATAAGGTTACAAACTAACTTTTTTCAGCACTTTGAAGAATAAAAGAAATTAAAGCTCTGAAAAGCACTGAACTCCAGAAACATAAATGAAAAGGTCAAGTTACATATGAATATATAACTGGATATAATAATTCTAAATAACATAACTTATAGATATACTTCAACTGAGACATTAGAAGGGAGAAGAATTGTTGATATTAAGCAAGGGAAGGTGAAAGTCAAAAAAGTTGCATGTAAAAATTGTAATGATTTTTGCATAATTTCTCCAAAGGTGCAAGGGGTTGTCAGGTGATCTGGGTTCCCTTTTGAAAACGATTTATATATATTGGCCTTACACTTTATTGCCCAAAGATTTGCTGAAAAGTAGGTTATTAATCAAGTTATGTTCCTACTTGTTTGCATTATAAATGTTTCAGATGTTTGCAGAGCAAGAGTTTTTAAAAATTATACACCAGAAGAAAAACATAATTTAGTAATTTATCACTAAAGCTGATAATGGGTCACTCAAAGTTCAACACTTAATTGAAACTTAAAAATCTAATCTCATTATCTTTGTGACTAGTCTACTTTAGTGCTGCTTTATGGCAAGATCATGAAAGCTCTGCACTGAAGCCTTTCATCTCCATAACTAATTTTTTCCCATTAAGTATGAATTTCTGCATGGAAGTCAGTCCTATTTTTTAAAAAGCTAACAGAAACATAACTAACAATACCTAATACCTAGTACTATATGCCAGGCACTTCCAACCACTTTACATGTTTTATCCCATTTAATCCTCACAGCAACTCTATAAAATAATTACTATCATGTCTATACTTCACAGATGAGGAAACTGAGGCACAGAGAGATTGAGTAATTTTCTCTAGGTCCACAGCTCGAACCCAGGCAATCTGGTTCTAGTGTGTTCTCAGTCCAATGCTAACTTACAAAATAGAAGCTATGTATTTGCACTATAGGTAGTCCCTGACATGAGACATATCTGAGTTAAGATGAACTGCACTTATGACCGTCCTTTATTTTCTATCTTATCGTTAGTAACATGTACTACATGCAATGTTCCAGTGCATAATTCGCTGATGTTATCATTCTCAGATGTTCACAGGCAGATGATGTTCAAAGTTATGATTTACTGTTCAAAACACTGCCGTATAGCAGGCTACGGTCTGGTCTACAATAAAGTCCGTGTTAGTGTCCATGTAGGGAGTTGAAATGGATAGAAAGTTGGGCCATGTTCAACTATAACGACATACGACAACCGAGCTGTGCATGCGCCCGGCAGCAGTTAGGACTGCAACTTCATTGTTAATACACTGACGCCAATTTCACTGAAATACTCCTCAGTGTATCTGGAACATTGCATCTTCCTGGGAAGAAGTTACTGCAAGATACATACAGGGAATCTGGAAAAAACTGCTGAGTTATGTTATCACACTTTCAGCATTTGATCAGGATAATATGATAGAAAAGATGAGTGGAAAAATCATCCATATGGCAAGAATGCTGAATTTAGAACTTGATATCACCAATGTAGAACAGCTCATAAATCACAAATACAAGGAATTCACAGATCAGGAATTAATGGATTTTGAAGAGGAAAGAAATGCTGAAGAAAGAAATAATAAGGAAAAGGAAGAAGCTGTCAAAATATTTTACAGAGAAAGAATTAGCTGGAGTTTTTAATAAACTAAATAAGCAGCGTCAGTTGCTTGAAAACATGAACCAAATGCTGATCACTTCGTTAAAGTCAACAGACAGATTTGCAAAGCAGTGATATGTTACTGTGAAATATATGAAGGAAAAACGAAAAAGACCATACAGACAACTCTCACTAATTTTCTGACTACAACTGCTACACCCCATTCCCAGAGATAATCCAGATGATCCAGAACCTTCCACAAGTTATTACCACAACTTACAAAACATCAACGTTAACCAACTCTTCCTCATCACAGTAAATTTTTATGATTTGTGTATGTTTGTATGTATGTATGTATTGAAATATATCTGTAAGTGTATACATAGTGTTTCAAATCCCCAAAGACACATAAAAATTAGATTTATAAAGATACTGATAATAAAAGGCAATAATAATGAAAACTAAAAAAAAGTATTTGACTTATATCAGAACTGACTTATGACAGAGTCATCAGTCGTAAGTCAGGGACTACCTGTGCAAAAATAACCAATGCAAAACTTTTTTAAAGGGCTCATCTAGAGAATCAATTTTTTTTAATTTCATTTCTACACTATTTTCCAGAGGATAATTCAGGAAAAACCTTGAACTGTAACCTATGAAATTTTACAGGCAAAAATTAAAATGACACAAAAAATGGAGTATTATTCTGACATGCAGGTGAAGAAAAGAATCATATTTATAATATGTTGATAAAGGATAGACAATTAATGCAGTAGTTGAGATTAATGAGATGGCATTCAAATTTGGACATTAAGTTTCAGGTTTGATGAGGCAAATACCCCCAAAGCAATCACAGATAAGAGAATTTAAAGAGTATCTATCTCCGCTTAAAAATCTTTTATAATCTTACCTTTTGGTTTCGGGGTAAATCTTGAACATTTGATGGAGGCTTATAATTGAGGACTAATCTTCTGAATTCCAAAAGATTGAATAATGACTGAAAAAGAATAACAATAATTTAAGAAAACCTAAAGGAAAATCCTACTGACAGAACTGTAAAAATATGACTGGTCTCACAGACTTATTTTTGGCAACTGTATTACTTATACACAAAATTTTTACAACTAGCATAATGAGGCCTATTTTCTTTCCCTGAGAAAAAGTCACATTTCTTACATTTTGATATACTACTTTTGAGTATTAGTAATATTTATTTTACGCAAAGCATGAAACCTATACATGGACAATTTTAAAAAATTACTATTACTAAAATCTCTCATATTTTATTTTACTATGCAATTAACAAGCAATTTTCTCAAAATAAAAAGGTGAACAAACACAAGGTCTAGAAATCTGTAGATACGTTTACCCTGAGTTATCTGCTAGTATCAATAATTCTACAAAAATATACTATCAGACCCAGCAATCCCAACCCTAGGTATATACCCAGAAGTGAAGGCATGAACACAAATAGAAACCTGTACACCAGTGTTCATTCAGTACTTATCACAATAGCCAAAAGGCAGAAACAACTAAAATGTCTGCTAATAGGTGAATGGATAAATAAAATCTAGAATACACCCACAATGGAATACTACTCAGTCATAAAGAGAAATGAAGTCCTGATCCATGCCGCAACATGGATGAACCTTGAAAATATCATGCTGAGCAAAACAGATCAGAAACAAAAGGGTAAATATTTTATTATCTCAAGTATATGAAATAAGCAAATATACAGAAACCAAAGATTACCTCTGGTTACCAGGAGTGGGAGGAAGGGGTAAAGGAAGAGCTTTTGCTTAAGGGGCATTGAGGTTATGTTAATAATGGTGGAATGATTTGGAAAAGGATAGCAAGAATGGCTGTACAACTTGAAGAATGTAATCAATGTCACTTAAGAGTACATGTAGAAATTGTTGAGATGATGTATGTTTTGTTATGCATGTTCTTATCACAATACATTTCAAAAAATATATAGCACCAATAAATGTATGAGCCAGATGCCAGATGCCGGTGTCACAAAGATAGTACATATAATGCCTATGCTAAAGGAGACACACACTCTAGAAAGGAAACAGACACAGTTATAACAATCGAAATGTGGCTCCAGGATACAGTAATATTGATCCTCCAGAGTATAATGGGAGCAGACGAAAGATGGCTCATGGGAAGGCTTTCTGGAGCAGTGTTGCTTTAATCCCAGCTTGTAAGCTATATGACATCATGAAGAGCACTTGCTAAAAAATGAAATAGAATACAACAGAAAATAACAGAATGCATCATACACAGTAAATGTACCACATAGTGTTGCCTGTAATGGGTTGTATATCTTTTGTGTATCTTTTCTTCCTTCTGGCTGCTTTAAGGGTTTTCTCTATGTCTACAGTTCTTCGCCGTTTTATTATGATGTGTCTTGGTGTAGTATTCCTTATGTTGATCCTATTCCTTATGTTGATCCTACTTAATTCCTAGTGCTTCCTGAATCTGTGGCTTGATTTCTTTCATCAGGTTTAAAATAGTCTCAATAATCATCTTTTAAATATTGCTTTTGCCCTGTTCTCTTTTTACTCACCCTCTGGAAGTACAAATATATTATTACTTTTCCCCATGTCCAAAATATTTCATAAACTCTTATCTGTATCTCATGGTTTTAGTCTGAAAATTAACAAATTCTTCAGTTTTGTCTAATATGCTGCTAAACCTACCCACTAACTTCTTAATTTCAGTTATTATATTTTTCAATTTTAAAATACCCATTTTTTCCTTCTTTATAGTGTTTAGTTTCTCCCAAACTTCTCAATCTTGCTTTTGATTCCTTCAGTATATTAATTTTTAGCTATGACCAATAATTCCCTGTAGGTATATTTCTATTGCCCATTTTTCTTTCTTAATTTTCAGACACATCCAATCTTCTGATACGGTTGATTATGAATGATTTGAGGGTTAGACATTGCATGTAAAAAACTGAGGAGATAATTGAAAGTTCTAGATATTATCTTCTACCAGAGATAATTTATAGTTGTTTCTGGCAGGCAGCTAGACTGGTGCCACTTTGCAATCCTAGAGTATCTTAAGACAATTAATTCTGAGGTGATTTGAAGCTGGAATCCAGAAACTATGAAACCTACTCTACTCCCACTTCTTACTTAATCCTAGGCTCTAGCCCTTTAGAATTCTAACTGAAAATCTGAGGTATTTACTAGGACCCCAAGTCTGTGAAAAACTTCTCTTAGCTTCTCAGTCACTCAGCAGACACTTCTGGAACTGCCTCAAGGAGAAAAATCTGTAGCCAGGCTTACTCTCTGGACATCCCTGTTCTCCCAGAGTTTAGCCTCAAAATTCTTCACTGCTTTGCAGCTCCTCAATAGCTTCAACAAGTTGTTTTTGTTTTGCTTTGTTTGGGGTATAGCAAAATATGACCAGGAGGATGGTCTAAAACAACCTAGCTTGCCATTACCCAAAGTGGAACTCCATGTAACAATTCATAGGAATTGACAAATCCCAAACCCTTTATACCTAAGTCATAGTCATAGTTAGTACTGGCTGACGTGCTCCTTTAAAAGGGGTAGGGAGAGCAATTGTCACTTGTCTAAATTGTTTTTGTGAGTGATGCACAATTTGGAAAAAAAGCATCCCTTCATTCAATCCAAAGCTAATGTGAATATTGAAAAACACCTATTCAAATGAAGTTTGGCTAGACTCTTGTTAATAACAGAACTAGTGGGATATGAGAGTTCAAATAACTTTTGGAAGAAAGGAAGTGTACTCTTACAGAATTAAGAGAGCCGAGAGAAATATTATAAACTGTGAGTCTATGATGGAGGATACTGAGGGGAAGCAAAATAAATTCTCCTCGATGGATTAAAAACAAAAAGAAGGGTATCACATAAGTGATACCTCAAGGTGAGGTAAGGCCTAAAAACAGACGACATGATTGAAAGCTGAAATTCTGTGTAGGAAGCAATTAAATCCCTAGGTTCTTCCCGAGACCCAGAATAGTCAGACGACTACCCTCCCCTATGTGAAATACAGAAAACTTAATCTTTGAAGATAACTGAATTAAAGAGGCTCCGGCTCAGAAAATATGTAATAGGCATAGTCTGTGTCGAGGGAGGAGGAATGAGATTCAGGAAAAAAAATAGATGGGTTAACTAAAAACCTGCAAACTGACTCCCACCCTGAGATCCCAACTCTCTTTCTCTAGACCTGCTTTTGTAAAGTCAGCAACCACAGTTAAACTACAAAGAATCGGAATCCAGTCTAGATTTGAAGGTGAAAAATGTTCTGTGGAAGATATCTCCAAGAAAAAAAAAAGGAACTGATAATGTTTGAGGATACAGAAAATATTATTGATAAGACTATAATAAAAATGTTGGAGTAAATGGAAATTTTTAAGTATGTAAAAAAATAGGGGGAAAAAAAAGGCAGCAGTTGATAACTCCAAGAAAACAAAAGATTACAGAGGGGTAATCCTAGTGAATCACTGGCTTACTAGGGATTAATATTTATAAAGCCACAGAAAATGTAAACACTGACTACTGACTTTTTGGCTTATTATATAACTATGTTGGGAAATGAAGGAAAAAGTCAATTCTGGATGAGTGAAAAAGGAGAGCTAAATTCTCAGCTATCTCAACAGAAAAGCATGTAGTTTAGAAATGGCAACACAGATGATGGGAGAAACAGCTAGAACTGGTCATGGGTGCCTTTAAGAAGCAAGACTAGAAGGTAGAGGTTTCGGGCAGAGGATTGCTGTTTTTCACTGTAAACCTTCTCATGCCATGGGATTTTTGGGTTTCTCTTTGAACTATGCACTTCTGTTTCTTAATGAAAATTTAAAAATTAGAGAGATAAGAGCAAGTAAAAACTTGCAACATTTTTCAATATCCTCACTTAATAGTTTAGATATTTTATACATCATTGAGGAGTCCCTAGGTTGCACAAATGGTTAAGCAATGGACTACTAAATGAAGGCTGACAGTTAAAACCCACCCACAGACATCTTGGAAGATAGGCCTAGCTGTCTGCTTCTGAAAGGTCACAGCCTAGAAAACCCTATGGATCAGTTCTCTGTACACATGGGAGTGCCATGAGTCAGAATCAACTCAAAAACAACTAATAAATACAACAACATACATCATTTGGGTGATAGAAGCATCTTAAGTCTTCTATTATACCAAAAATCATATATATTCCTCCTTTTCAGTTAATTAATTAATTCATTCAATACTTAATTGCGTTCCTTCAATGTGCAATACACTGTTTTATACGCTGGTTATAGAACAATAATGCAGAAGATGTGCTCTCTGCCCTCAGGACACTTGTATTTAGTCAACCTGGAATCACATGATTTATGAGTAAGGTCACCATATAATTTTATTATCCAGTCCATAACCCTTTGGAGTGTGAAAGAAGGCTTTAAGACATTAGGTGCCAACTGATCTACAATGGGAGTAAACCAGGACTGTGCCAGGCAAACCAGGAAGTATGACCACCTCACTTTTGGGCATTGACCTACAAACAGCCAATTCTGACTTTTTATCTTGTTTACAACGCTTCACTAAATTTGCAGAAAAGTTTGCAGGAAAGTCCATTAAAAAAATTTTTTTTTCCACCCTGACAACAATCCCTAACAGCACGCAGGAATTAAATCCAATTAAGAGAAAAGCATAGGTAGTGCTCTCTGTTAAAACTCCATACTGGGGAATGAGGAATGAGGAGGGCTGAGGCTTACAATTCCCAAACTAGTTCATCAGGCAGACAGGCATATAAAAAACTTGTCTACATTTATGTTTAAAGTATACAACTTAAAAGAAACTCAATCCACTTGCCACTGCTATCATGCCCACCAAATAATATGCAAAAATAGAACCTTACCTGAATGACAGCACTAAACCAGCAAGTATTGCCAACATTCTTTAGCCCGACAGGAGCTTTGTCCTGCCTTTTTCTATCATAAGGGTTTCGAGAATCCCTCCAAACTTCTGTAGGAGTCCTCTTCAAACATGCTTTATTTTCTGCTATGCTGGCTTCAAGAACTCTTAAGCAAAAGAGAGAAAATGATGAAAAAAGTGGTATTAATTTAAGGCTATCCCCTAAGCAGTAATACACCATAAACTCTAAGAATTTTGATTACTTAAGCTCTGGATAATCTATTTGGGGAAGTAATAGTTAATATTAAGTTTATTCAAGTTAACAGTTTTCTGTAAGAACACAGCAATTGAAAATGCCAAAAGACCAAGAGAAGTTCAGCCTTTTTTCCTAAAAAAAGGACATATCAAACACTCATAAAAAATGCTATATAATAGAAAGTAGAATAAATTATGTTTCAGGAAATTAGAGGTTTAGTATCAGGCATACAGCACCTAGATAAGTTTTCTAAGAAATCACTGCATTAAAGCCTATGCTTACCATTTATCATAATAAACTAGTTTTTTTAAGTAACAATTACTTTGAATCATCAAGAAATCATTAAAAATTGAAGAAATCGTACTTTTGATCCTCTACACATCAACTTCCTCTTCTATAAATCAAAAAAAAAAAATCCATTGCTGCAGAGTCAATTCCAATTCACAGCGACCCCAGAGGACCGAGTAGAACTGCCCCATAGGGTTTCCAAGGCTGTAATCTTTATGGAAGCAGACTGCATATCTTTCTCCCACAGAGCCGTTCGAACTGCCAACCTTTTGGTTAGCAGCTGAGTGCTCTAACCACTGTGTAACCCGGGCTCCTTCCTCTTCTATAAAAAGAGGTTAAATACGGGAAATTCTAGGTGTCCTTTCAGTTCTAGAGATACATGGTAGCTAAATAAAGGACAGGAATGCTTTTGCGCTCACTTTTTCACCTAAAAGTTTGCTTAGGAGTAAAAGTCGTGAAATAAATATATAACTGTCAGAATAAGAAAACATTACTAACCTCTCCAAAATAAACTATTCTACTGAATACCCTAAATATATCTCAACACAGCAAAGTAATGTTACTTTGTTTAATAATGAAGATTTTCTTGCTCCTAAGCATGCAAAAATGTACCTAAAATCACTAAATGAACCATAATTCCACATATGAATTTACCTTATTTAATCTCTTTGGTTAACCCAAGAAGTTTGCCTTCTCAAGAGATGTTGCTACATATTATACTAAATAAGCATAAATAATATGCAGATGGTCTTAACCAACTTTCTGTTAATCAGAAAACCCTCAGAGGTAGAATAAATCATTAGTGACATTATTATCAGCAAAAGTAAGTTTTTCTAACTATTTGGCTTCTGGAGAAAATCTCATTCATGCTATACCATCTTTACCCTAAAGAGTTTTCTTTATCAGGTTAGTGTTAAAATAATATAGGTATATTTCTTAATTATGGAAAAAAATTAATTCTCTTATCTCCAAGAGCAGTATTTACAACATGACACTATATACAGTGTAGTTGTGCTATAAAATAGCATTACTTAAAATAACCTTTGTAATACAGGAGAAAGTCTGGGGGGTGAGGGGGGCAATGAAACCATATACTAAAAAAAAAAAAAAAGAAAAGTGAGTCACAATATGAGAAGTTAAAATGTAGAGATCCAGGTAAACTTATATATTCAAAAAGAAACTGTTTACATTTCTATCACTTCTAAGAGTTTTCTTTCCCCAGAATCAACTCTTCCATGCAAACCCAAGTCCCAGGCTTTTTCTCTTAAACTATTTACCATTACAAAGAATCAGAATTCCTTGGAAGGTAGTTAGACAAACCACAGCAGAAGAAAATTAGGATTTCCACTATTACCAGAAAGTAAGTTTTCAAGAACACAAGAGGGACTGATAAAAGGTCAAAGAGTTAACTTAGGAGAACTCCCACTGGCCTAACTGTGCAGTTCAGCATAATGTAAGAACAAAATAACAATAATTATAATGCAATAATGATAGTAATAACAATACCCATTTCCTAAATGATATTTATATTTTATAAAACAAAAAAACCAAACCTGCTGTCATTGAGTCAATTCCAACTCATGGCAACTCTACAGGACAGAGTAGAACCGTCCCAGGGTTTCCAAGGTGGATTTGAACTGCTGACCTTCTGGTTAGCAGCCGAGCTCTAAACCACTGCACCACCAGGGCTCCTCTATTTTAAAGATACAGTATTAAATAGTCATATAATTTAATGCAGTCATGATCGATATCATCATTCATTATAACAAAACTATGGGAGTGGGTTTATTGTAGTATTTCTTAACCACACACAGCAGAATTATGGTGCTAAAAGATGATGGATGAAAAAGGAATACTGTGACTTTCTGACCTCCTTGATTTAGAGCTTATAACACATTCAGATACAGTAAAACCTGCAAAAGCCGGAAACTGTTAAGATGGAAACCTGTCAGAGAAGGAAAACGCAAATATTTTCCACTAAAACAAGCAGTAGAAAAGTGGTAACTGCATGGAAAACTTGTGAGACTCGGAAAAACAAGGCAGTCCCACGGAGTTCTGGCTCTCCCAGGTTTCACTGTATTACCAGGGCCCTTCAATATGCCTAAGGAGTCCTGGTTGCACAGTGGCTAAGAGCTCGGCTGTTGGTGTAAAAAAAAAAAAAAAAAAAAACTCGGCTGCTAAGCAAAAGGTTGGCTGTTCAAACAAACCAGCCACTCCATGGGAGAAAGATGTGGCAGTCTGCTTCCACAAAGATTTACAGCCTTGGAAACCCTATGGGGCAGTTCAACCCTCTCCTACAGAGTCCCTAGAGTCAGAATCAAGTCGCAGCAATGGATACAATATGCCTCATTAGGTGTCTTTCTACCACCTTCTCTTGGCTCCTAAAGAACTTTAAAACCTCGTTTATTACACTGCACCAAAAATATTTACTAATCAACCAGTCTCTCCCATCAGTATCTAGAGGATAGAAACACCTATTATTATCATCTTCTCTTTTTTATCCCTAGAGTCTACATGAAAAATAGTAGGGGCTAAACAAGTATATGAAGTGAATAGATGATTAGATATTAGACGCTGTCACTTCCTGGTTATTTTTTTTTAAACAAAAGCTCAACCTCTAGCCAAAACACTGCTCTACTCCCAAACCCTTGTCCCTTCCTATAGTTCAGTATTGACACCACAAATAAAAGATTTTATAAAGTCAGGTCCTACATAAGGGTTCATTCCCTGGCCTCACCAATATAAAGTCAATGATACCACTCAGGCTTTGAAGTATAAAATACACAACAGCTTAATTCCAGATACTAAGGCTGCCAATAGAGAGAGACAGAAAATAAATTCTGCAAATCTCAAGACAGCTCATAAATAGCATATAACAAAATGTAGCATGCCGAGGGAGGCAACTCCATGAGCCGCAAATCAAAAACCAGTCCCTACCACACATCGCCTGCTTTCTTATCCTCCCTAACACCAGTCATGACCTTGGCACTCAGGAATATCAAAACACGACAAAATGTTTTGGTGTCTATTCCTTCCAGACACTATATGGAACATTTAAAGCACTTAATTATAGCAAATTTTCACCTTCTTTTCAAACTTCATTGTATACTTTTTTAGGTTTTTTTGTTTTGTGTGTGCTATTTACAGCTGTAATGTTGAAAACCACTCACTTAAACTCACCAAGTCCCTCTTTGGAAGTATCATACTCACTGAAAAACATGCCTATCATTTAAGCTTTATAGATCAACCAATAAAAAAAGAAGGAAGTAAAAAAAGGAATACAGGAGAAGAAAGGAAGGAGAAAAGAAAAGCATTTCTTTTGAAAGATATGGTTAAAATATACAAGACATACAATTGCTATAACATTTTTAAATATGATGATATAATCCAAAAGGTACATAATACAGGCCATAAAAGTCAAAATGTTGTAAAAACAAATAAGATAGTATGGTTATCTTTCTAAAACATACATATGAAATATTTCTATCCACTTAATTTCAATACAGAATACAATGTTTATGATTTCAAAATGTATACATTTTTACTTTTTTACCCCCATAGGCTAAATACTGGAACATGTGAGTGACATTATCAGTGATTCTTCCAATTTCTGAAAGCACCCAATATACATTTACAGGTTCTCTTCACATAAAAACATATGCTCAGTTATATTCTGAGGTTTATATGAAATGAGATTTGATATATATATGTTTCATTACATTTATTCACTTTACTATTTTGTAGAAAATAAATATTTCATAAATCAGATTGGGGTCCATGATTTAAGTCATCAGTAAAAACCTAGCAGCATTAAGACTTTAAAAAATTTAAGTTCAGAATTATATCCACTATGAATACAAAAACTGTACACTAAACTACAGTGAATAAACCAACACTACTGCTCACTATCCAAGCTCATGACACTGAAACTAAGGAACCAAATATATTTGGATAAGGAGAGATACGTATATGTTGGTGTGTACACACAGACACACATACATATGCAATTTAAATTTTTAGGGAAAGGACTATCCGTACTGAAGATGAAACCTGTATGTTGAACAGTAATTCAACAGTTATGTAGCCCAAACTTCCATGGTCCTCAACACTGGATTGATTGGAAACTAGAACACAGAACTATGGTAAGAAACCCTTTCATGCAGTTAAATCTGGAACTTTGATTTTCTAGCAGTGTCCTCCATTACTCAGTTATGACATTTGTTGTTGTTAGGTGCCATCAAGTCGTTTCAGGCTCATGAGACTCCTATGTGCAATGAAACACTTCCCAATCCTCACATCATTGCTATGTTTCAGCCCATTTTTGCAGCCACTGTGTCAATCCATCTTATTGAGGGTCTTCCTCTTTTGCACTGACCCTCTACTTTACCAAGCATGATGTCCTCCAGACACTGGAGATCCCTCATAACACGACCAAAGTACATGAGATGAAGTCTCGCCAACGTCGCTTCTAAGAAAGAATTCTGACTGTACTTGGAAGAGATTTGTTCATTCTTCTGGTGGTCCATGCTTACATACAATATTCTTCACAAACAACATAATTCAAATCCATCTGTTCTTCTTCAATGTTCCTTCTTCACTGACCAGCTTTTGCATGTATATGAG